TCATGCAGAGCACTTCCACACAAGCTGCCTTCTAGAAGGCAGTGCTGGTTTGAAGTCTGTGCAACTAACCTGCCTGTGTTTGTAACCACGTTCGATGTATTTTGTATGCACCAAACATCTGGGAAGCAGAGTGGCATGTTCTGGCCTAAGGATCTTTTTTATTCAAAACACAAGCTATTTCCTTCTGTTGATATAACAGGCTTCGGTGCAGACAAAAATTAGGAAAGAAATACACTGAAATTTCTATCTTTATCACATAGCTTGTCTTCTTGCCCTCCCCATTTTCAAAATAATGAAGCTGGGTTGTGTCTCTTTTCCACCACAAACAAACAAACAAACATTTGTGAAGATAATCTGAAAGTTGAATTCTGTAGCCTGCATCACTTAGGCAAATTAAGAAAAGCAAATACAACTCACCTAATCTGCTGCATTCTTGATACTAATGTGCCATTCTATGTGACCATCTTTATTCAATAATGAAGGGGCTGCCTTAGAAGATGGTCCAGATACGTCAGTTGGTTCAGAAAATAGCCGCCAGGATGTTAATGGGGACTGGCAAGTACTCTCTTTTAATGCCGGTCCTCTATCTGGCTGCCAATTGAAGTCTGGACCCAATTTAAGGTGCTGATGATGACCCACAAAGCCCTAAATGGCTTGGGTCCTTCTTACCTGAAGGAGCACCTTCTTCCCTATGTGCCTGCCTGACCCTTGAGATGTGAGGCACAGGTCCTGCTCTGAGTCCTCCTTGAAGGAGATCAGGAGAGTGGCTACCTAGGGGAGGGCCTTCTCTGCTTTGGCACCCCAACTATGGAATACGCCCCCCAGAGAGATTCAACTGGCGCTAATGCTTTATTCTTTTGGGCAGCAGACAAAAGCCTTTTTATTTTCCCATCATTTTAATGTTTAGTTGATTTTAATTGGGATTTTATTAACTTAAGTATCTTATACTTAATAATATCTTATTATCTTAAGTTGTTGGATACTGTGTTTTGTTTTTTCTTACTCGTTTTTCATTGTAAGCTGTACCAAGACACCAGTGGTAGATGGGTTAGAAAAGGTTTTAATAAAGAATTATTCCTGTTTCCCACACATACATGGGGCAGTTTATTCAGTCACCAATTTGCTTCTGTTTCTTTCTCTTTTTTGAGCAGACTTTGCCCTCGCCTGTATGCAGTCAAGTGGGAGAGTCACCTCTGGCAGGGCTAAGGGGGGACCAGCTGCCCAGCCCTCTTCTCTTGCCTGCAGGGAAGCTGCCCCTTCATCTGGGGCGATGAGCTTCAGGCCTGGAGGCTGAACCCCCGCCCCCCAGACTGAAAGAGGTGCTGGAACACTGCAAGAGCAGGAAGCACTGTATGTTTTCGATGCTAAAAAAAAATTGAGTTATATTACTCTTTTTTTATCCTTTTCTTTGCTGCTCTGGGCAGACTTAGGCCAGAAAGGCAGCTTATCTTGAAAACCTTTTGGGACAACAAAGCAAGATGTAAGTATTCTAAACAAGATAAATAAGGACTAGACATTTAGTTTGAGAAAAGAATACTGAAGATCCAAGAATGCTGAATCATTTATTTACCGCATGTATTTGTCATTTTTCTCTGGCAAATCCACAGCAGATCCACAACCCTGAGTTTCTTTCCCCATCCAGCTCCATCTTTCTGCTTCACATGGATTTCACATGACCCCAAAAGTCTCCATGGTGAGAAATTTAACATTTCAAAAGAAGCAGATTCTCTGTTTCAAGAGATTTAAATGGATTTAGGAAGCTGCATGAAGGTCATTCAACAGCTGACCAAAGCCCTTAAGCTAAGACATGAACTTTCTACTATGAGACCATCAGAATAAGCAGAGAAACAGATTTAAAGGCAATGCATTGTATTCTAGAAATGTGCAAGAGACCAGGGTGGAAAACGGCCAACTCGTGTTTGCACCACTTCACTGATTAGTTTGTGGATATTGTTGGTTAACTGAGGAGCAGACAAGGGGGAGTAAGGCATAAGTTGGCTGGGTAAGAGGCAAGGTAAGAGCAGAGGCATCAAGACATGGAACACCTTGGCCTGGGAATGTCATGCAGCAGAGTATGTGAATGACCATGTTCCCAAGCCAAGGAAGTCGCATGAGCAATAAGGCAGATGAAATCGAATGCAGGTAAAAGAAAACCCTATTTCAGAGCCAAAACAGTCGATGAACAGTTGACATGGAAGGACTGGCACCGCTGCTTTCCTTGGCACAAACCCAGTCCAGACTGCATGTGTTTGTCATGAAGGTTCTTGCGGGAGAGCAGACCTTCTTCTCATTCTCTTTTCATGGTTCTGGAGTCAACGCCACCCTGCACAGGATGACGTGGGAGCGAGAGGGAGGAGCGGCCCAGAACAGCCTTCACCCACATCCAGTGCAAGCCTTCACCGTTGGACCTGCCGGGGGAGGGGGAGGCCACCCCCTCAGCCCAAGAAAGCCACAGTGGGGGTTTCTGGAGCCTAGCCGGGGCTGCTGCCACAGGACACTCCAACGGCTTCACACAGGCTGTCCTAGGACCTTCTTCAGAACTGCACTCCACTTTCTATTCGTTTTTGGCTGAGCTACACTGGTGTTTCCTGCTGCAACCTGCACGCTACGAAGGCACACGGGCACCCTTAGCGGTGCAAAAGAGGCACACTGCAGAGCCTGGGCACACTCGCTGCTGCTTATGCAGCGTCAACGCACTTGCTGCATAATGCTCAAAGTGGCTCTAATGATCCTTCACCCGGGAAATCTGCTATGTGCTAGGAAGCCATGGACAGTCCTCCGTGGGTCACAATCCTGCAAAGCACAGGCTTGCATAAGACCATGAAAAGATTACAGGACGCACAGAATTCAGGTGCTGGAGAATCTAGGCTTTTTTCTTTTCTCTTTTCTTTGAAGGCAAGTTCCTAGCCCCTGGGACTACAAAGACAGGGTTTGGGTTTGTGCTGGGGCATCTGTAGAAATGTCAGAGATCTAAGGGGCTACTGAATAAGCTTCCAAAAGAAGGGGGCCGGTTTCAATGCCTCCCGTAGCCCACTCATTGCTCCTGTCAGCAAAACCAGGTTCAGTGATACAAAAAGGGGTACTATTTAGGTCTTGCATTTGTAACCTTTGCCTAGTACTCCATGCATGGCTTCCATATATGGCTGTCCTCTTCCCTCCCAGAGGAGGCAGGCTGCTTCAGGGCAAGGGAAGAACATTATTGCTTCTCAACAAGCCAGGGCTACTGCTCTGCATCAAGACAGATTCTGGAGGGGGAACAGTAACACGATAAATCAGGTGAACACATAGAAACAGGGGAACAGCATACACTGAAAGCAGGGGGACAGTAAAATTGTGGCTGGTCAGCAAGGAAGGATTCTTGGAACAAAGATATTTTCATCAAGCACTGAAAATAACACAGCTCCAGAGCCTGCCAGCCTTCCAGAGGCAGGGAGTTCCCGGAATTGGGGGTGCCACACCGAAGGCTCTTCTCGGGGGGGGGGGGGGCTCAAATCAGGTCAGAGGTCATGCTGGAACCTCTGGGAGAAAGTCCTCTGATGACCAAGCAGGCCAGAGAGGAAGAGGGAGCTCTTTTGGGTATTCTGGTCCCAGATTCTTTAGGGTTTTGTACACTGGTCCTGGAACCTGGCCCAGGCGGCCAGTGAAATTCCTTCAACAAAGGAACTGCGTGCTGGAAGGGGTTGCAGCTGGCAAGGGCCGAGCGCTTCTGGACTAGGCTGCAGGGCAGCCCTGCACGGCATGCGCTGCTGTCCGCCGGCCCCGAGGCTGCTGCTGGTGCCTGCATCACGGAGACCGAGGGGAGGCTGCAGCTGGCAAGCCCAGTGGAGGTGGCCAAAGGTGCCCCTGGATTCCTGTGAGTGCCGGAAAAGCATGAAAAACGAGATGCCAGAATATGGGGGGGTGGGGGTGGTTTAAAATCATCTGGGTGATTTTTTCCCCCCAATCTTGGATTGGGTTTTATTTGGGAGCGCCACTGGACTTATGCCATAGTCTTATTTGGAAGTTTCTCTCCTCAGTCTAAAAGAAACCCTGGTTTTTTCAATGGCTTCTTTGGCTGAAGTTATTTTTGCTATCATGGCTTGAAAACTTTTCTACAGTCATGACACCAAAAACATAACTAATATTTTTTAAAGGACTGAAAGACAGATACACTCAAGAATGGAGAAGGAGCATCTGGATCAGACCTTGGTTTCAAAGAAGACTTCCTGCCTCAAACAGTAAGATGTGGTATCCCGAAAAGAGTTCCGTTTACAGAGCATCCCTGCTCGTCTCCAAAAGTAGCTCATGCAGCCACCACTGCATGCTGCCAGTGCTTGTGGAGGCCGCACAGTTTTGTAACAGCAAATGACTTCTGATCAGAGCTACAATTAGCACAATGGGGATTTGCAGGCGCTTTCACCACACTTTGCATTCATGTTTGCCCCCTCACCTCTTTGCTTGGCTGGTCCAGCAGAGGGACTCAGCCAGCATCTCATGGTAATTACAGGGTGTTAGTTTTGCCTCACTGAAAAAAGAGAACAGTTTTCCCCTCCACCCACGTACACACACCACACGTGCTGGGGGAAATGACTAGAGCTTGGCAAATACCAAGAGCTTTTGATGAATCTAATGGATCTAATTAGATTTTGGGAGAGGAGAGAGATTGTAGGAACTGAAACTTGAGTACATCTTATCTGTCCTAAAGAGATGGCAAGTCAGATGAATGTTCCTTGAAGAGGGATGCAAGTTGCTTCTGCTTGGGTTCATCCGGTAACTCCATCGGATGCATGATGTGTAACACGCGGCACGGCTTATAAAATTATTATTTCTTATACGCTGTTCCTAGTTGGGGCTCCTAGTTGTCTCTGTTCAAGGTCTCTGGGCTGGCTGTATTTGCACTGGATTCACTGTAGAAACCATGTGCCATCAAGAGCTCTTCCTTGGGGCGCATGACTCATGCAACAGAAGTTTTACTATTTCTCTTTGACTTTGGTTGCTCCAGGATCTGATGTAGCCTGTATTTAAAAAGGGAGCTGGGTGAGGCTTGCTGCACTGTGTGTGCATTTCCTTCTTGCTCGCTCTCTCTGTACACACACACACGTTTTGTTCAAATTCACAACACCTCTTGAGCACAGAAGAATGTGACTCTAAGCAACAAAGCATGTATGAGCATGAAAAAATTGTGCCGGCCTGTGCAATGTTGCACAAATTACAATCATGTAGCACAGTGTGGTTCTAATTTTTCCTGTCAAAAAGCCCTGCCACCAAAGGTGTGTGGCAAGCACAAAGAATACCAAGTATCATCCAAATAGAGTATGGAATGCACAGGTGTTTCCCAGAATGGTGGCAGCTCTGGAAACAGCTCAAAGCTGGGCTAACCAGAGCTGGGTGCATCTGAGGAGAGGTGCCAGCAATGGCGCTTGAGCGTTCGTAATTTTGGGGAAGGGACTGCTTGATGGCGAAGCACAAACTCTGCAAGCAGAAGGCCCCAGGACATCTCTGATTAGAGCCAGGTAGGAAGCCCTGGAGAGCCAGTGACACCGGGATGGGGAATCACTTTTTGCCCCAAGGGCCATGCAGGCACCCCAGACAAGGACTCTTTCTCCACGGCCAGGTTGTTTTGCTTTCTTCTCTGTGCGTGGAGGAAAGGACAAATTCTTCCTCTGTGCACAGAAAAGTCAATGGAGAAAAAGTCTCTTCCTACATCACTGAGTAGCGGTACCATTCTCTGAAGGGCCAGGCTTTGCGAGGGGCCTTCACTGAACCATGCTGGGAAGCCGCACAGGCTGAAGTTCTCCAGCAGTGCGGTGGACAATACTGGACCAATGCTCCAACCGGGTTGTTTTCACATTTCCCACCTTCTCCCTCTTGTGGTACATAAACCTTTATTTCCTGCAGGAGAGCTCAGGAAGCTTTTCAAGGGCACAGATGTCTCTTAGCTGTCCAGAAGGGATCAGAGCCGCTTAAGTTCCCCTACATACCCTAATAGGATCTTCCATCCCACAAATTGCCTGCCCATATGTATAAAAGCCTTAAGGTCTTAACAGAACTGTGTGTTTAAAAAATAAATGTGGCATCTTGATCAAAATGTTCTCAGTAGTTGGAGGGGAGGGGGGAGAGCCAACACTCCAGATAGACCCATTAATTGCCTATTTGTTGGGATTATTTGCACAGCATTCTGGTTCAGCAAAAGAGAACTGTCACAGACATTACTCTCCAAAAATGGGAAAGAAAATAAGAAATGTACAAAAGCAATCTGCTACATGTTCCCATGAATACTGGGATGTACGTGGTCACTGAAAACCCGAGGATAATATCATCCCCATCACAGATCCTGTCCTTCCTGTTTTGACACAAGCGCTTGAGCTGAAAGCCAGCTGCCAGGAGACATTTCAGTGTGCTCCCGACATGTACTTTGCAAGCATCCCCTTGGTGGAGCACAGACACTGTGACATGTAGCAAATACTGTAAAATTACCTCAAACGAGCCAACCAGAATTGCTAAGAGCCTGGTGAACAGAGTGCTAGGGAGGAATCTGCAAAGCCTAATTTAAGCTCAGCCGGGTCTTCACGGCCTTTTTTAAAATTATGGATAAATCTGCCTATTTATTGCGCCAGATATCTGGCATTCTGGGGGACTCAAAACAGCAACCTCTTTCTCTTCCTGTCGGGCTTAAGAAACCAAACTCATGGAGATCATGTCCTACTTTGGTCACATACTCTGACAGGCTACCAGGGTGGAGATGGTGTGGAGAACTGGCTTTCAGGTCAAGGCTGTTACTCCTAAACTAAGCCTCACAAAGGATAAATTCATTTTTAAGAACTAGCCTTTGGACAGCCCAAGATACCCCTGGTAGAGTACTGGTTGAGATGGCCAACCGCTTTGCTGCATGAGCAACTGCTTCGCAGGATTGGCTCCTTTCAGTGATCCTTTGCTGGGCCGGGTAACTGCCTGGCATCTTTGCATCAGGTGCAACTGGATCATTCAATCACTCCCTGATTATCATCCATCCTCAGAGGAGGCTACTCATGGGCTATTGCTCCGCCCTTGCTTCAGCCCAACCTCCATGGGGGTGGGGGGGAGCATGTTTTGTCCCACCAGAATCAATCACTTCTAGATGAAGAGACTCAGCTAAGGTCTACCCTGCTCCCACAGCGCAAACAACCAGAATGGTGAATCATTCAGAGACTGGGCTCCTTTAAGGGCTGGCAGCTGTTCCTTTCATACACCCTAGAAAACAGTTTCTCATATAACAGTGAAGTGCCCATCCAGCTTAGTGCTGGAGGAAAAATTAGGCTTTCTACAGGAAATGCTGGGTTAATGTATAAAACTGCAAAATGTTATGTGGTTCAAGGTAAAGGTCAATGAGGTTCTTTAAATGATTTTTACTCTGCTGTCTCAGATGTGCCAAAGAAGCTCCTCTCCACCCACCTTTTCTGATGGTGTTATCACCAACTGCCCCAATTAGAGATAGGATGCCCGGTTGCATTTCTTTTAAGTATTTATAAGGGGGGGGGGGGGCAGGACGGGACATGTGCTCTACTTTCCAAATATGGTCTTCTATTTGAAAGGTTGTCCAAGTCCAAGCTTGGTTCAAAGATGAAGAAACCAAGGAAGAGAAGCAGGGCCCCAGCAGCAGCCAGAGCAGCCCAGCAGACCATACAAGCACAGCCTTACTGCCTTCTGTTCCAATTATGGTAATTATTGCTAATGGATATGCAGACAAATAAATTGAGCCTATGCAAATTTCACATATCTCTGCCTCTTCTCTTTGGGCTATGTACAATTGGCTACCTACCCTCTTTAAATCCTGCCTTTCTGGCTGACACTAAGCGAAAAGTAAACATAAAGACGTTGCTCCCTAGACAAGACCGAGCAGACAAGGGAGTGAGGCCATTCCATGTATGTTTGCAGCTCTGCCTACCCTGCCACCCAGTGCAGCGTGCCCTGAACTCTCCAGTCAGTTCTGAGGTCGTGTATCCTAAGCATGGCATGGCATTTTCTGAATGGGGAAAAGAGGGGTCCGCTGCTGGGTAAGGAGGTTAGCCAGTTGACACACAGCAGAGTTCCAGCTCTGTTTTGGAGGTGACGGCCTGGGCAAGCCATTGCACCCGCTGTTATGCGTCATCGGCTCCGAACAAAGCTTGATGCAGAATGGGCTGCCTCAACATTCTGGATTAACAGGCATGCCCAAATTAACGTGCCACACTGAATTAAGGTGCTATGTCGACTGGAAGTCCTTAGCAAATCGCAGGAGCTTTATCTTATATTCCAGCATGACTGCCCCAACAAGTTCATCCGTGCTCTAGCAGCAGGCGGTCTTGTGATTTCACCGTGCTTCTCAGTTTATAAGGCACTTCACTGTTGGTCTCACTGGTCTGCCAAAGTTCTGCAGACGCGCACAGACAATGCCAAAGGCTGCCATGTGGGCTGCTCCATTCCACGCCTCTGACTGGTCAGCTGTGCCCTTCCTCCTCCTACTTCTCCCACCCGTAACAGTTGACCAGCCTTCTTGGCCAGGAGCCACTTAGCTTCCAGAGGGTCAGTCATATCAGTGCATTGCAGCAAAACTGGCACTTCACCCTTGACTCTCAGGCTCGGGGTGGACCTGCTCGCCAAGGAAGTTCTGCCCATGCTGTAACGTGAGGCCACAATGCACTGTCCCTCCTGCCTCCTGTGCTACATACAGATGAAGATCGGATCAGGGTCATCTCAATCCTCCTCTCCTTTCTGAGGGCCACTGTCTCACTCTTCCACAGGACAGAGGTAGCATGAAGAGTATTTTCATCCGCATCTGCTCATTGTTCCCCCGTGTACTGCCTGGAAGCTTAGAGTGTCCTATGAGAAACATGGGATTAAAACTCTCCAATAAATGTAAATGCCGTGTGCCCGTAGTTTGCAAGTCTGTTTACGTATGAGGCTTCCCTTTCCAGAAATACACTATGCTATATAGATGCACTATGCTGTGTAAAGTACACTGTGAAGTTTGTTTTGCCACAAGTTCAATACGCTGGGGAAGGTACTATTTTCCCCTGGAGCGCTACACTAGTTGCAAGCAATCCAAAGTACATTTGCACCGAGTGCTCCAATCTCACACTGAGGACTCATTATCTTCAGTAGCGATTTCTGCACAGCAACTACATTAATAGGAAAGCCACCATAAGCTACAATGAGATGCAGCCTGCAATAACCTTGGGAAAACTGTCTGGTGCAGAAAGAGTCCCCTCATCTCCTAATTGCCAGTTGGAATGGGAATGTCTGTGTGTTCTCTAGGACCACTTTATCCACTAAACAACGATTTGGGGGCCAGTGGTATCTTTGTTTTCACAGACATAGGCTTCCTCACAGTCAGTCAGGATCTATGAACAGCTATTGCTGTTATACAGGGATTTTATTCAAGGTATCTCCTAGGGTGAAATCCCATGCATGGGCGGCTGGGAAATGTAGGCCTTTCTTCTATCTAAACATGCACAGGATTGCACCATTGGCTACCTTCAAGACCAGTCTTCCCAAGGTGCCTAAATGTTCAAAACAACAAATTCAGTACCAAATTATAGAAGCTACTTAATTGTAATGCAGGGAGTTGGACTCGATGGCCTTCATGGCCCCTTCCAACCATACTATTCTATGATTCTATGTAATAATTTAAAAATAAGTAGTTAAAATGCCAAACATTTACAGAAGTAAAAACTAATATTTGTTTCAATTAAAAGCCATGTACGTGGGTTACAAAAGCGGTTACAGTTTAAGCCAGACATGTATCTCCTGGGAAGAAATTCTGCAACAGAGGATTAAGTTAACACAGGCTTTTTGTCTAGTTCCCATCAACCTTATTGATCTTAGTGGCAGGCCGATAAGTAGGGCCTCTGAACATCACCTTAAATTTTATTTTGCATTATAACGTGTAGATACAATGAAGTATATGCACTGGAAAGGGGTGGAATATTAATAACAACAGAAACACATATAATTTAAAGACAAGAGAGAAACACATGGACTAGCGCAGCATTTTACTACCTGAAAAATGTATATTTTCCTCTCCTTAAAATTTGGCCAACTGTCGAAGATTACTCCAGAGGCTAACTGCATCATGCAGACCATGAGCTGGCCACTTCCAGTCTACAAGAAGGGTTTGAGAGCATTCACGACTTTCAAATGTCCTTGTGCACCAAATAGCCTTGCAGGAGGAGTAACCTGATTTGAGAAGCAAGGTGACTAAGCTAAAATGGAGCATCCTTATTTGATTCAGCAAAAATTAACTGAATCAAATGTACTCAATGGGCCCCATGTGAAACACAACTGCTGATGCCTTTCAGTCAGTAGCAGGCTCAGTACTGGATTTTTGAGGAAAATGAAGCAGCATCAGGTTACTGGGGTCAGAAATGCTATTTCTCTCTCTCTCTCTTACACACGCGGGCACACACACACACACGAATGACCATCAAGGATTAACTAAGCTGCTGCTTGACCATTCTCTTGGGTGAAAGAAGTGCCCCTTGGTAGTCATACTGCAATTTTCCGTGTAGCAGGATGTAACTTGGTGGGCTGCTGAGACCTGAAATGTACTCTGGACTCTGAGCTGTCAGAAGCATTAGAAGTACTGAGAGGTGCACTTTGTTAAAGGGCAAATGCTAGCATGGAGTCACAAAACCCCAGCTTGGTTCTAAAAGGCAGACCAAGTCATTCTTCCATTTATGATGCATAAAGCAAAGTAAGTTCTTCTAAAGCTGCATGCTACCAGAAGGACCTTAAAGGAAAGACAGCTTCAAGATGAGAGTTAAGTGCAGGGGAGAAATAAAGGGCCAAGGACCGCCAGATGTATCCCATTACCTCCTGATGCTCTCACAGATATGCAGGGCCACCTGAGGTAAGTCTGCTGATTTTAACAGGCAGGGAAGAAGGGCCCTCACCAGTCCTCTTCCCTGGAAGTATGAGGATTAGGCAGCATGCATATTTACTAACAGAAGAGTTTCTGTGGCCCTTTAAAAAAAGGAATCACAGGACAACGTGCAGACAGGGAAAGTAGCCAGAATATGCAATGGTATCTGGTTTGCCACTAGCCTGTGCACTTGTAGCCTGCCAGATGTTTGGGCCTTCAGCTCCTATGATCCTCCATCACTGGCTATGCTGGCTGGGGTTCAGGAGCCAAAACATCTGTAGGGTCACAAGTTCCCCTCCCACACTTTAATTAAGTTTCAGTCAGAAGGTGGTACTAGCGGCTCTTATATGTGACTTCCTTCTCTGAAAACCTTCAAAGTGCCACATCTCCTTTGTTTTGCTTCAGAGCCCCTCTCTGGACTCATCCCTTCAACAAAATCTTTGCATGCATGCAAACCACAGCTGCCATTTAAATTGGAAATAAAGATATTAAAAGGTGCTTGAGAGATAGTCGTGTAAAACAAGGCAGAAGAGTAAATGTTTATTTTCTTAAAGATTCCTTCACACATTTAAAGCCACAGAGTGTTCTTGCAAAAAGTTATTTATTGACCAAAGCTGTTTTCCAGAAGCACATTCACCAAGAATGAATCTCTGAGCGTGCAGAGTGGTTCATTGAACCCAATCTGGTATTCACTTCTAGAAACTCTCCTTCCGAGTATATCTGAGTCCCATCTTTTCAGGAGGGGCTTTTTCATAGAATCACAGAATAGTAGAGTTGAAAGGGGCCAAATAGGCCTTCACGTCCAACTCCCTGCTATTGCAAGTCGCCAGGTTAAACCATCTTTCAGATAACTGACCATTTTCCTTTTTGAAAAGGAGCACACCTTGTTTCTGCACATTGATCCTCTAACTTTTATTTTATTAATTGCTTAATTGTGAGCCGCCTAGAGAAGCTATAGCTCAACAGGCACCATACAAATGTTTTAAATAAAACAAATAATTGGGTGACCCTCTTCTGCTGAGGTCATGCCATGGGGTTGGGAGTCATGCTGACTTCATCTGTCTCTGAGACACTCCCCTGTCCCAAGCCCCCTCCCGATAGCAGCATGTCTTGGTTATTCTCAGGGGCTGCCAGAGCCCCTGAGGAGTCTAGCCTTGAGTTAAGTCCTCCTCTTCTCATCTTAATGTCTGGACGTGGCCCATATTCCAAGCTCTTCCCCTGTTCCTCCTCCAGATCAACCTGTCCTAGAAATACATGCCAAGAGCAGCTGCCCCTCTCACTCCCAACAGATACAAGCCCTACTGTTGTGGCAGTGCCATGAAGTCACATCAACACAAGCCTGTCACTCAAGTGATGTCTCGGCGAAGTATTATAAATGTTTAAGGCTGCTGAGCGACATTGCTGCTACACACAGCAATGTTGAAGGCTGTTGTAGGAAGGTTTGAGCATGGATAGAGAGAGTGGATTTGCGTAGGTTGTGGTTTTGAACTGATTATTGGAAATGTGGAATTGCAAGATAGATTTGGTATTGGCCTGCAGCACACTTTCCTGAGAGCAAGTCCCCTTGAATACTGGGGGACTGAACTTTGAGCAAACATGCACAGGGTTGTACTGAAAAGCTTCCTGATGATCCTAGCATGGAACAATATTAAACCATTATGGCCAATGGGATGGGGGGGGGGGGGACAAACTGCTGCCTTGCCCTAGGCCCCGTGGTTTCCAAGGTGGGAGATTCTAAACCTCCTCCTGCTGCCAGCATTTTCTTGAATGAAGGCCCTTAAGCTTTGCTCATACAAAGCACAGGAGCAAAAGCCCTCCAGTCTGACGGCTACACAGGAAGTCCTGGCGGTGGCCCTTGGGTACTGTGGCCACATCTGACAAACCACAGGCTAGATGTGTTCCCAGTGGATTAAGAGGGAGGCTCTAACACACGTCATCAGCCTGACAGCCAGTCAGACCGACTTTATTTTAAAACAGGTGGCTCAGCACCTAAGGCACCCTTGCCACAATCAAAGCAGAAAGCAGAATATGATGGGAGAGCAATGATGGAGAAGACCCAGCTCTAAAACTCAGTCAGAAAACATTAATTCCAAAGGAGACCTGGGACATGCTTAGGCAGAATGTAGCAAAATCAGAATTCAGACCATCCTAAGAAAGCTTCCCCAACTTGAGGGGAGTGGTGAGAGACTGACAGAGTAGTTTTCTCAATTTAACAGGAGTGGACAAGATACCAGTAAAGTCAAGTCTCCTTCATATAAAGATATCAAATATATTATGCCAATTGACAAGCAGCTCAAATTTTAGTACAACAGGGTGAAGAAGTTTGTTATCAACATGGAAACAAGAGAGATCTTTGAAATGTCATCCAGGCAGTGGGACTAATTATAGTTTTGAGAAAGGTGAAATCAGTGGCCTGGCTGTACACACTTGGTTCACAGTTGCCTTTGGTCAAATAGGGGTTTGCAAGGTTACTAATACATGACAAATGATTACAAAATCTGTTTACTGTGGACTCCAATGGGATGAATATACATACACCACTTATGTCCATCAATGTTGCTCTGAAAAAAGCTACCACAGATTCCCAGCCAGTTTAGGTGGGTTAAAAATGTGATTGGGAGGACCTCAAACAGCAACCCAAGTTACACCATAATGTCTTATGAAAGGAGTCTTCCAGTCCCTTTTGAGGCTTTTCCAAATGAAATTATACTATTCATGCATGGCCTTAGGATGTCACTGTGACCATACCTCACTGTATGGTTTAAATTAATTCTTGCAGTGGCCTGTGAAAGCATGGATAGATTCCTTGCTACCTTTTATGTGTTCTTACGTGCATAAGCTTACTTGTTCTTCACATCCTGGAGAAAGACTTGCTTAGATGGCTTGTTTACTGCTTCAGCTGAAAGCTTCTCTTCTTAGCTTCTCTAAAACGTCCTCTGGAGTCAGTGGTGCCAATATTTTCACTACTTTTTCTCGAGATTTACCTCCCTGTTTTAATACCAAAGCAAAGAATTTTAGAGAGTTTCTCACATCAAATCATCCACAGTTACCGAGTTATACTGAAATTAGAACAATGAGAGAGAAATCTGCTCAAAACTACTATCTGTTAGAATACAGAAATATTTGTACTTGTAGTACTCCAAGAGATTCATCAAAATATTTAAGGAAACCTGATACTATACAGCTAATAACATACCAGATGACAAAAAATAATGGTTACATCACTTTACAAAAACCCTCATGCTTTGATGAACTGAGAGAATATATAAAGCTACTATGACTCTTTACATCCTGATGAAGTGATAGCAATTCTGTTATAGGGTATTTCCCAAGCAATCTTTTATTGTTACTTTACAGGCAGAAGTGATCAGAGAATAAACTGAATGCCCCAATTTTTCACAATCAATCCACCTTTTTATTTAAATGTCATTTTAATTGTTAATATTATTTGCTTATTTTATCTGGCCAGGGCGACTTATTTTATATTGTTAATTTGTTTTATATTTTGAATGTATTGTATTTTAATTTTATGTTGTGAGCCGCCCCGAGGCTTCGGCGAATGGGGCGGCATAGAAATGTTTTAAATAAATAAATACATAAAATATAGATAAGGGAGAGGGCCCTGCCTTGCCTGTGTCCCATGGAGGGTGGAAGTATTTGTGATGGAGATGAGAGATGCAGCCTCAAGGCTTAGACCAGCTCTATGGAACACCTTGCCTCAAGGAGCTCAGAAAACCTCCTCTCTGTTTCTCCTTCTTTCTTTCTGTAATATTTCTTCGGGCATTGCACTGGAGTGTACTTGATGTTTTATTTAAGGGCTATATTTTATGTATGATTCCTGCCTCTGTTGAGTTTTACTGAATGTACTGTTTGTATGATATTGTGATTTAAGTGGCAATATGCTGTCCTGGGTGATGCAACAAGTCAGAGAAGGGCAGGATGGAAACTGTTAAATGAAAACATCAAATAACAATGTTAAAATTGTTAAATGCAAATATCAAACAACAATAACATCACAGCAGTGCTACTGTATAGCACCACCCTGTAATCTTTCATTGAGATTTATACAGGATGAACTCTTACATCTTCCCCTCCTTCATTCTGCCCTGAGGCGTGTAAAAACACCCAGTCATTTCTAGTTCTTCAAGATGAGCTTTTGCAGGGCAATGGAACAGGGATTTTCTCTGTGCCAGCTTTAATTTCAGGTGGATTGAAAGGGTTCACTGCTATACATCATGCTGGTAAAATAAAGGTTGGTAAAGTGACTTGTTGCCACTTATCTGTGTGGTGTGGCAGTTAGAGAGCTGGGCTGGGATTCAGGAGATCTGGGTTCTAGTCCCCACTTGGCCATGAAACTCGCCGGATGACGTTACGTTGCTAACTCTCGGTCTAGCCTACCTCATAGGGTTGTTATGAGGAGAACATGAAAAGGAGAAGAACCTTGTAAGCTGCCTTGGGATCCTTGTAAGATGAAAATAGGCAGGGTATAAATGTAATATAGTAATAATGATCAGCAGAAAAAGTTTCAAGAGCCCAAGATGAACTCCAGCAACACAGCAAAAGGAATGTAAGAGACGGTACCTTCTCCAATACAACCTCGCTCTTCTTAACTTCAAGGACCTTAGAGAGGTAGCGGCAGAGCTCTGCATTGGCCTCCCCTTCAGACGGGGGTGCAGCAATTGCCACACCCACGGCCTCTGTAGTCAGATCTGTAACGAGCAGTCCAGGGTTTTTATCTTCAAGGTATTTGTGGTGCTCTTTGTTAAGCTCCAGCTGTGAAACACTTCTCTCAAAACTCCTTTTAAGATCTCCGTGCAGCTGACATATATACAGAACAGCAGAGTGGGTGCAGAGCTCAGTGGTGGAGTACAGGCCTTGCATACAGATGGTCCCAGGGTCAGTCCTCTGCATGTTTCTGTTAAGCTACAGAAACTTCCACTTGCTGGTGGAGTGCTGCTGCCAGTTTGTGCTGACAATACTAGGCTACATGGGCCTAACTCACTATAAGGCAGTTTCCAATCTGAAAACTAGTTGAAGGATATACCACTGAGCTCCTGCTAGTGCTACTGATGTTGTGCTATTGGAAACCAATGCTTGTGCAATGTCACCAGTGTCTGCTAACACAACAAGCTGAGGTGAGGTGCTATCCATATGATCATGACAACTGATTTGACTTTTCTTTTTCATTTAGTTCAGGTCAAGTGACTGAAGAGCTAAATTAGTGCCTGCCTAATGAACTGGACTATTGTTCATAAACTGAAGCTCAAACTAAATAAAACAGAAATGCTCTTTGGCAGGTGGATTTCCAGCAAGTGGCATTTGCTCTGCTTTGTACTCCTCCAAAGCAGCAGGCCTGCAGTACAGGGGTACATTATGGACAACCTTTGAAGCATCTCAGTGGCACAGGTGAACTTTTACATGTTTGGACTGGTGGGCACGCTGTGTCCCTATCTGGACAGCAATTGCTGGACTTGTTTCTATATTCTGGTAACCTTAAGATTAGATTATTGCACTGTTTTGTACATGGAGCCTCTTCTGAAATGGTAAAGAATACCAGTTAGTTCAAAATGTGCCTACCAGATTATTAAGACTGGATGCTACAATCATACTAGACTGGTGCACCAGACCCTTGTCAGTTCCCAGGTGTTGATTTTGATTTTTAAAGCTCTTTATGGCTTGGATACCTGAAGCATCAACTTCCTCTGCAAGCACCTGCTCATAAGTTTAAGATCACCATCAAAGGCTCTAATTCAGATGCCCCACCACCTAAAGCACCTTGGCTAGTGGGGAAAAAGCTTTCATGTTATCCTGCTGCTAGATGAAGACCGTTTCCCCCTAAGCTTTTCAGTTTTTTTAAACCTTGGTTTACATCTTTTTTTTTTTCCTGCTGCTTTTATGGAGGAGACCCTGCAGAGCACTTTTGAATCCTTCTGGCAAAATAGCATAATCTTAGTGTAATACTTCCTCTCGTTAGAAATGAAGGGTTGTTTTTTTTTTAAAGATTCTCAACATACCTGTTATAGCATTTTGCTTAGATCCAGGTTTGGCATGTATAGAGATGATAACAGAACCACTTTTATCAGTTGCCACAGGGCCTGAAGGAACAGGTTTTACAGCTTCCTTAATCTGTGCCTTCCCCTTAAAATAGATCCAAGAAATAAACATTATCCACCAAAAAGTAGAGAGAGCTATACTGAAATGTAGAAAAAACAAGTTACTAACTCTTGAATAAAAATATTTCCGAAAAATAAAAAATAAAGGGAACTTTTTATTTGCCAGATGGACATTCCACAACAGCTAAGACGGGCAAAAGAATTTACTGATATGGATAAAACAAATAGGTTTAGATGTTCAACACCCAGATAATAAGCAGCATGTGCTTTAGAACATGCATTAACTGCATCAATAATAGCAATCCTTAGAGCAATGTAAGTCATCAACCCCACAGTGCACATGGGGTGCCGTGTCAGAGAACAACAAAGTAAGCCATGGAGAAGATATGAGACATACCCCGGGACATGGACACTTTGTCACTGATCTGTCTGTGAACATTTATGAAGGGAAAAAACCTCAAAGGGAGGCTCCAGTGTGATCCTTGGGACTCTGTCACACCCAGGGAGACAGATGTGCTTAGCATATCCAAACAAGAAAACTTGTACTACTGTCAACTAACACTGTTGTGAATAATCATTCTATTATTGTCCAATCATTTGAGCTTAGACCAGAAACAAACATGGGCTGGACTTCTCCCATTCTTTGTCCTAGGGATTACATTTCCCCTGTATACTTATGTTTCTGTATAGGTACATCTAACAACTGAGGTTAACACTGACAAAACAGACTCTAGTGAACCAAGTCTTCTGGTAAAGAGTTTCCTAATTCCCTGAACATTCCCTCTCCCTTATCACATATAGTTGTGTCACTGTCTAATTAGATTTTTTTTTTTAATTCAGGATGCAATTTGCAACTAACTAAGCCTAATTGAACACAATGGGTCTTATTTCTCAGTAGACATGTACAAGAGAATACTGTTAGTTTTTGGTTGGCATTACGAAATAAAACTGAAGTTGCTTCAATTTTAAACTGTAACTTACAACTAGTAGCTAATGAGTAACCGTAACGACCCTGTTATGGAAAGGCCTTATTGTTATATGTATATACTGTCTCTTTTAGCTCTTGCAAGGTACCCAAAGTGGCTTACAGAGTTTTCCTCTGCATTTTATCTTCATAACAACAGCCGTGTGGAATAGGTTAGGCTGAAAGTTAAGGACTGGCCGACTGAGGCCTAGAACGCGGATCTCCCAAGCTTGGTCCTATACTCTAATCATTACACCAGATCCCAGTAGAATACTCCAGCCGCCACCCATACACTGGCCCTCGAAATAAAATATACATCACGTATCCAGAACGTTATTTATAGAAGAAATGCATAAACTCGCTCCCATTTTTCGTGGCACCACACCGCCTGAGCTGGCACTCGTTCCCAACGAGGGGCTCACCCCTCGCGCCTGAACGCTGAACACTCGCCCTCCCACGACTAAAACGTTCGAGGGGAGGGAGGGAGGCAGCGCTGCTTCTGCCACGGCGGCCCGCCCGCCCACCCGCCGGCCGCCGCGCTGCGCGCACTATGGGCGCATGGAGGCGAAGGCCCGCCGGCCGCCGCAGCGGCCCTGCGGGAAAAGCGGGGCAGGACGCACAGCAAGCGCAGGCACTCCCTGCGTTAAGGGAAGGCCAGCCCAAGGGCAACTCTGCCCGGAGGCCCGGAGCGCGGCCGCCGGCATACCGACCTTCCGAGGCATGGCCCCGCCACCGCCGCTCCGCCCCCTCGCAACAGTCGCGGCCCAGGCGGGCGGCCATCGCCGCGCAGCCCGACGGATCGCGGGAAGGGTCAGCGCCAGCATCGCGGAGGACTTCCGGCACAACCGCGGCCGCTTCTCATAGATGTAGTAAGGTTAGAGTGGCACTCACGATCCCAGTGCCGCTCTCTCTGAGCGATAGCGGCACTGAAGAAAGCTTTGGAGAAGGCAGGGATGTTGTAATAGCAATTTTGTAATTTGGGCACCAGCCCGCGCCGATTCCTCATCCCTGTTTTAACATTGCCCCTTACGAAAAGCGTACCCTGCCCCAGCACGCGACTGATGGCTCCAATGGCTGTGGGGCACTGTATCCGCTCCGATTTTCAGCCCGAACTATTTTGGGAATGGGGTTCAGCACTGTGAATCGCTCCTTAAACGCTTCAGTTCAAAGCCGGAGCGGAAACACTGCCCACAGGCACTGGATCCACCAGCGTCCCTTGCCATGCAGGTCAATGGAGCTTCAAGTTTGTGTAATTGAGCAATGGATTTGGGCCTGGTAGTGTGGTGGGAGCATTTGAAGTAAATTGATGTACATATTTATTAAAACATTTTTATGCCGCCCCATTCGTCGAAGGCTCGGGGCGGCTTACAACAATATGAGGGAGTGAGAGAACGATTTTGTTTTGAAAACATGAAGCAGCCTCTGTTCCATTTTTAAACTGCAGCATTAATAACAAAAGACCACAAGGCTGTAATCAGCTGCGGTTAAAGGCCGTTTTCCTGAAACATTGAATCAAATGGAATGTAGATGTCTTGCTATTTGTTTGCAGGGCTATTTTACGCATATCTAAGATTCTCCCTTTCCCACCTAAAACACACAAAACTACAATCCTCAGTTGAAAATGCATTAATTCCTTTATTTGCTACTACGTGTTTAGGGATTGACTGTGCTGGTTTTTTTATGGGCAGCTAAAAAGATTTCAAAATAGCTTCCAGGCAAGGCATTCTTTACAAGACCATGATCTATTTATTAACTGTGGGCACAATCTTACCCATGCTTAGTTGGAAGAAAGTGGTAGAACTTTCATCTAACAGGATCTGGGAGAGGCCACCACCTCCTCTCAGTCAATAGTCTTCCTCACTTCTTTGAACAATAGCTCTGAATGTATCCAGAGCTAAACACTTAATGTGTTATGCATATTCACTTTGATTTTATTTTAAATCAGTATTTCCTTTCAAAAATGACAATATATGTCAAAGAAAAGACATATAACAAAGATGATTGTGGGAGATATAACATTGTCCTTTTCTTCAAAAAGGGAAAAAACGAGGAACTTGGGAACAGAGATTTCTCAAGAACTATTCCTACCACACTAATCTGATTTCATGCTGTAATTGAGCAACCAGATGGACATTATATCTTGACTTCAACACAGCTTTAACAAAATGTCTATGAAATCCTGATTAGCAAACTAGCTAAATGCTGAATGGAAGAATTATCAAGTTGATCCACAGTTGGCTATGAACTGGACTCAGAATGAGTGCTTATGAATGACTCCTGTTCAGACTGAGAGGTAACAGGTAGGGGTACCACAGGGTTCAGTCCTAGGCCTACTGCTTTTCAACATTTTTATTAATAATTTGGATGAAGTGGTGCAGGGAATGCTTATAAGATTTTCAGATGACCCAAAATTGGGTGGGATAGCTAATACCCTGGAAGACAGAAATAAAATTAAAAGTGATCTTGATAGGCCCAAGTGCCAGGCTGAAAACAGACTGAAATTTAATAGGGACAAATGCCAATTTTGGCACCCGGGGGTGGGGGGGACTGTTACAAGAGAGACAACAAGTGAGAAGGAACTTGAAATTCTGTAGATCACAAGCTGAGTATGAGTCAACAATGTGATGTGATTGCAAATAAGGAGTTTTCTGTTTTGGACTGCATTAATAGAAGTGTCACTTCCAAATAACATAAATTACTAGTTCCCTTCTATTCTGAACTGGTTAGCCCCCAGCTTGAATACTGCATCCAGTTCTGGGTATCACAGTTTAAGAGATATGCAAACTGGTCAAGGCTCAGAGGAGGCAACAAAGGTGATTAGGGGACTGGATACAAAGTCCTATGAAGAGAGACTGTAAGAAATGAGTATGTTTAGTCCTGGGAAGAGAAGTCTGAGGGGAGATCAATAGCAATCTTCAAATACTTGAAAGGTTGTCACAGAGAAGGGCCAGGATCTCTTAATCATTTTAGAGTACAGGACACAGAATAATGGTCTCAAGTAAATTACAAGAGGCCAGATTCCACCTGAGCATCAGGAAAAACCTCCTGTTACAGCAATATGACAATGGAACCAATTACCCAAGGAAGTTGTGGGCTGACCCACATGGGAAACATTCAAGATGCTGACAGAAAGCCGTATCTTAGAAATGCTTTGAGTTTTGCATTGAGCAGATTGTTGGACCCAATGACCTTATTAATCCCTTCCAGCTCCACTGTATTTTTGTACTTCTGGATCTACTCAAATTCTGAATTATCTGCACAAATCCATATAGGATTATTGGTTTCCTTTTTGTGAAAGCTGCCACTTGCAATTGGAGATTTGCTGCTTAAGTGAAAATCACCATCTACTGGCCACTACTGCAGGCATCAGTAAAAATATTTAGAATCAGAATTCCAGCATGGTAATACTAAAGTTGCTATTAAGGGCAGTGTAAATGACTCCAAAAGGCTTGTATAGAATGGGCAGAACTGAAAGAGGTACAGAGCATCACAGAAGGGGCTTCCATGACAACTAGTGTGGTTATAGCAAACTTTGCTTTTAAACCTCCTATACTCAGAATGTTTATACAGCATTTTTGCCCCATCTGGTAAGATTCTTAATATTGACTTGTGTATCTTGCAAGGTCATAGTATTTCCCACCTAAGTGGTTTAAAGTTTTAAGACTGCAGAGAGCACACATGACAAAAAGCCATCCCAATTCATAGCTCAGTCTTGCTTTGCAATCCTGCAACAATCCTTTACCTTCAGTATGAATGACTGGGGCTGAGTAGAAATGTACAGAATTGTGGTTCCAGCCACTATGCTACGCCAGCTCACAACACCATTTGCCATACAAGAAAACAAAGTCTTCTTAGGCCATTGGCAATAATTTCCATAATAACTACAAATCCATGAGTAGGCTACTATAAACATTAACTGCGATTAGTGAATATTCTTATATACTTATCATAGTATATTTGAATATGCATGTAACTGTGTCCAAGTAAATCTGAAGTATTCAAGATTTGTTTAACTCAAGTATTCAGAACTAGACAAGGGTTCTTCCACTCTTCACTTTATAGTTTAAGAATAGCTTCATACAACTGACTGCTGAGTAACTTTTTCTCCAGTACACAACAAAGCTGATTAAGTTTATATACACTGTATTGAGTATAATCACTGATACAATTTGTATCGACCTTAATTCTTTTTTTGTCATAATTTCACTTTTAGTTTGAAAGAATGTAAGCTCAGTTTAATGAGTTGTTTTGTACAGGAACACAGTCATACTTTCCACAGATATTACCATCTGCAACAAGTATATTTTGTGGAGTGGATAAAGGATATGAATACTCTGCTCCAGCTTCCAGGTTATGGTAGCACATTCAAAGTGATCAAGTTAAATACTTATGTACAGGTAAGAATATTTTAGTTCAAAAATTTGGCTGCATACTGCGACTGGAAGTAGTGAATACTAGTTTTGAGTACCTTCCATGTACAATACTTCAGTTTCATACCATGACTGAAATTATATATTTACAAAACTTCACAGTATTCATTATCTCCCATCTGTCTTTTCTTAGGAAAATCAATCCCACATTTTGCTTCATTTCCATTATATGAAGTTACGTATAAAATATTATTTCTGGTATCTGTCCATCTTCTATCGAAGTACCATTGTTGTTACCCGGAGAACTAAAAAAGAAAAAGCATGTTTTGCTTGAAGCAGGAGATTCATGGATTACTTTCTTCAATCCCTTGGTGCCATAATGAGAATCTGGGCCCTAAATATAAAAACAAACAGTTATTTTTACTCCTCAGCAATACTTTGTGCAGTAAGCAGTAAACATGAAATGTTCTCTAGGTGTAAAGGCTCCCCCACACATGCATGCTAGTCATGTCCAACTCAGTGGCCCATCTCCATTTGTAAGCGGAAGTGCCAGCGTTGCCCAAAGATGCTTTCGTGGTCATGTGCCAAGGAGCACAGAATGATGTGATCTTTCCCACCAAAGTGGTACCTATTTATCTACTCGCATTTGCATGTTTTTTGAATTGCTAGGTAGTAAGAGCTGAGACAAAACAGTGGGCACTCACCCTGTCCTGCAGAATTTGAACTGCTGGCCTTCCAATCAACAGCCCAGCAGCTCAACCTGTTGTGCCACCCACATCCCTGGAATGTTCTCTAAGCTATGGTAAATTCACAGAAACATTTGCAATGGCATATAGATCATGATATTAAGAATGTAGTTGCTGGATTCTATAAATACATATTATTAGCACATACTAAAAAGCCTTTAAATCACTGTCCATAAATTATAAAATAAAACACTCGTAGGAATTTAAGGAATTTAGGAACCATAAGAATTAGGAATTTAAGAACCATAAAAATTAAAAACTACACAATTTAAAATGCTAAATTAAAAAAAACACACAAAACAAATTTTCACTCTTTGGACTTCACTCTTTTGGCTTTTTCAATCATAATTTTCAATACAGCAGATTCTGGTTTTTGCACAATGGGAGAAAACCCTTTTGCATGTGTCTGCCAGAAGGGACTCTTTGGGTAATGGCTCTCTTAAAAAGGTCTCTCCTGCTGATCTCTACTACCCAGGCAGGCTTATTAGGAGACAGGTAGTTTCTCAGACACTCAGCTAGTAAGCCATTTTGCGTTTTAAGGGTTAAAAACCAAACACCTCAAACTGAGCCAAGGAAGCAATTAGCAACTGGTCCATGTCTTTCAAGAGACGTCATTGTCATCCTGATACTGTATACTAGTTAGCAGCTGAGTATTTGCATCAGTTGTAGGCTTTGGACTCCATGCAGAGTGCATTTGCAAAGCAAGAATATAAATGCCAGTTCAAGTTGCTTCTATTTAGAGCAGGGGTCTCAAACTCAACTTACCTGGGGGCCGCTGGAAGTAGAGGCTGGGTGAGGCTGGGCCGCATCAAGTATTCCACCACTGCAGTGGTGGTGGGCCGCTCATCCCGCAGCCGGCCCGGGTGCCGCCAGTGCTTTGAAGGCCGCAGGGCCCCTTCCCCGTGCCCCACCCATCCTGGCAATTGGCCCGTGGGCCACGAGTTTGAGACCCCTGATTTAGAGTATCTACAAAATAAAATTCTTACTTTTAGGGTTGCACAAGCAGTGTAACACACAGTTGGCAGAATCTCTATGGGTTCTTTGAACATAACTCTGAAGGTACTGGCAGTTCCATCACAGCTAAATCCAGTGTCATTTTGTCCTAGTGTCTGGTTTTTCTCATATTCTATTATCTGTAGCAAGAATCAAAGAATCATAGAAAGAAACCTTTAATTCAGAAACCAATTTGCAGACATTTTATTGAAAAGATCATAGCTGAATTTGTGTCAATGAAAACTGTTCAGATCTTCTAGGTCCTGGCTCACATGGAAACACCACAAAGTTTCACAGCCCATGCTGAAATTGCAGCTTTACTTGTCACCTTTGATTAACATTAGAGTATCCAGGCTTGTTTCTTAATAAGAGATCAATACTGGCTCCGAGATTTTTCCTGGGCCATGCTTACAATTAGGGCTTTTTTTGTCATAGAATGCACCGGAATGGTGTTCTGGCACCTTTTTTTGACGGATTTTTCCATGTGATTGTGAATCACCCTGTCGGGTAGCAGGTCGGCAGCAAAAAGCATTAAAATAGTGCCTGCGGGCTTTGTGTGTGTCCACGTGGCTTGTGAGGACGCTGCTCAGCTTGGAATCGGTTGTGTGGTCGCGCGCTGAGTGTTTACTGCCGGCGGCAACCATTATGTTTATGTGTGTGTAGAGTGACTGGCTACATGCAAAAGGTAAATAAGTTCTTTATTTCAAAAAAAAGTTGGTGAATTGAAAATCCTTTTTAGTGTAAAAGTGTGACCCCAAGAGGTGAGTTCCGGCAACCTTTTTGTTTTGTTTTTTACAAAAAAAGCACTGCTTACAACCAATTTGAGAAGCTTTTCTTTAGGTACCCCACCATCATAAGTAAGGCAGATATGAATCAGAGAAAAAGCCTCTTCAGGAAGGGCACCCTTTTTATAGCTGACTTCAAGCTCTCTACACATCACCTTGCAAATTTAATGAATTTAATATGTAAATAAGCAAAGAAGTTCAGATTCTAATATAGAAATTAGTTTCCTTCAAGAGAAAAAATAGCTACTGGATGCAGAGCTCTAAACAAATCTGTACTGCAGAAGTGCATGCTGGGAAAATCTGGCATTTCGCAACTCATGTTTTGGAACAAAGATAAACAACCTTAAGCATCAATACAAAATGCCTCAAGTGAATTAAACTATTATGCAACTGAAGTAATTGTGGGCACATTTTGAAATTTAAATTGGAAGCATATTAATTTCCTGTTCAGCAATTTAAAATTTATTTTTTGGTCACCTTTCAGGACAGAACCCACTTAATTGCTACAATACAGTGTATTCTACTTTATTAATCACTTATGAAGAAGTCCAAATGGAACACTCACATTTTAGGCTCTAAAAATCATGACATATTCCAAAGGAGTATTTCATACTTAACATACATTTGTTTTCTAAGTTCTACAGGAAAAAGGCTTCTTATTACAATATTTTTATGTGAGTCTTTTCATAAGTAGATATTTTTCTTTAGAACCCTCATGCCACTCTTAATATCAAGTAATTCAAAATATTCAAAACACTCAAATGATTTTCTATGACCTTGGTTTTTTCCCCAGCTTGAATACTCCAGAAATATTAAAATAACCATCTCTGAGCAGCAATGTTTGTGGGGAGAGGGAAAGTGAGCAGACTTCTACAAGTGTCCTAGGTGAGATCTGGCACGTGTGTGTTGACAGCCCACTGCGCATGGCCTCACAGGAAAACTCTACCTCATCACCCCTTTGATCGAACATCTTGAAATAATGCAAGGATATCTACTAAGTAGAACATCTGTGGTCAATTTGGTTAAATTAGTGAATGATTTAACATGTTGATGGCTAAGGTAAATATGTCACTCCTTAGACACTTAGGAAATGGTTACCTGTATATTTACTTGGTAATCGGTGGGGCCATGAATAGATCCATACAATCCAAATCCCACAATTGAAATTCTTCTGTTGACTGTGAACCTTGAAAAATAAACACTGAAGTCAATGTCTATTAAGTGTAGAGGGAAAAAATGATTGACCAATTTAAGATTTCTGAAAAATTGACATTCTTGTTTTTTAAAAAATAAATACTGTTTTAGGAATAAGGTTTAAGATTAGAGTTGATTTAGAATTTTCTTGAAGAAAATTAGTTTTTCTTCTGTTGTGATAGGAGAATGTTTTGTCTCCTACCAGCTTTACCAAACACCAAGATCTCTAGAAGGCTAAACTGTGGCTATTCTGTGTCTGATGGGCAAGGACAAGGAATAGGCACCCCTCTGTAGTGCTCCCAAGCCCTGTTTTGAATTCCCTCCGAGAAAAGCTTTTACTAGGTCAGTTCTATCCCCTAGTCAACATCTTTAATTTCTAGCATGTGTTCAGAGAACAACAAAATTGGACTGCTGTTGTTTAATCAGAACCTGCTTCTGCTAAGTTTACTAGCTTTAAGGGATGTGGAGATAATTGTGAGTTTCTAAAATTCTGCTAGGCATTATGTGTAAACTGCAATACTCTTTCATACCCTTGAATTATTCTTTTATACAGTATTATTTGAATCCCATCATCTTTAGAACAAATCTTCACATTTATACACAAGAAGGCAGGTAGTTGATGCGTCTTATGCTGCAAAGGAATCTAGACCATAATGTGCTAAACATTGGCAAGCTCTTTAGGCAACTGTCTCTGGAAAAGCAGTTGTTATATATTTTTCAGAAAACACCCAGGCCAGGATTCAAACAGTTGTATGAGTCCTGTGCCCCCAAGGAAAGCTGTGAATTGTTTGCTGAAGAGCAGCCACCCATGTTACAAGACAAGCTGTTTTTGAAACTGAGGCTACTTTCAGAAGCAGTTTTGACATGGTTGGGGTGGGGTGCTGTTCAAGCCATACCACTGGTTCATGGATGGGAAGGTATTAGGAAGGCAAGGGCCTCTTTGCTAATGTATGGCTCCATGCTTACTTGGTGTGCATATTCTCACCATTTGATTACAGCTGTTCTGCCAAGTTGTATTATGGTCTCACTACCTTTTAGTTTTACTGAAGCTTGATATACTGTTTATTATTTTATATTTTAATAGTATGCCTTCCTGGAATCCATCAGGTGAAATAAAATCACTGAAACAAGCAAGATTTCAGGGTCAGTTCCTGACTGAGAAAAAGTATTCTGGAAAGTTTCTCCCAACTGTGATAGCCAAATCACATGATGTCCTCTGAAAATGGGTGACCAATACCTGATCCGGTCACTTGTTCCACTGTAACCCCAGCGACTCTCCACTTGCTGGAATCTATTTATGCTACACTCCTTTCCTCTAAGACAGCATCTTGGTCGGTCAATATAGTCAACTCTAGGTTTAGGGTTGACTGTAAAATGCAGAAAGAGATTTACTACTTCCCGATCTGACAAAATTCCAGACTGAGCAGGACCTGGAAAAAAAGGCAGGGAAACTGAGCTGAACATATTCCAGAATAGAAAGCCAACCGAAAAATTTCCCTGAGGCAACTTTTAATGTACAGGACCCCACTGTAATCCAGAGTACAATTCAATCTGGATTAACTAATCTGGGCAGTAAAAGGGAAAAGCCTGCAATTTTCAAAAGAAAGCTGATAAGTAAAAAATGTCACTGCTATTAAGGGGTGTAATTCCAGACAGTCAAACAGAACTGGTTTGTGGAATATGCTAGTTGCTTGTTACCATAAGGTACAAGACTGTTTAAGAGGAAAAGAAATAAAGTTAAACTGCTTTCCCCAGTTAGGCAGAAACATCCATAGAGACCCACTAGGCACATAAATAAAAAGGTAAATGTTTTCCCATGACATTAAAGCCCAGTCATGTCTGACTCTTGGGGGTGGTGCTCATCTCCGTTGCCTAGTCGAGGGAGTAAAGAGCACATTTGTCAAAGAACATATTGAGAAATGCAGAAAAGCTACTTACCTGTTCATAAAAAAGAACATAGGATTGGATCCTAAAAACACGCATTTGCCACCATGTCCAAAATGGAATGTAAATTATTATTTTTTTTACAACAATGAAGCAAGCCATAATGTTACCTGCTGCAAACTCTTCAATTGTCATCAGTGGAAAACGGATTAAGGAGAGGGCTTTTCCAAGTACTTTTTGCTTATTTACAGATGTGACTGGTAACTGCTGTCTTTGACATTCTGCTTCAGCCCAGCGAACAACAGCTCCAAAAAGTCTGCTCTCTCGAATACTAAGTGTGTCTCTTTCCAATACGGCACACAGTGTATCTAAAAAATGTCATTAGCAAATATCGTCATCATCTATTTCATTTCTATACTGCCCCAACAGCTGAAGCTGCCTGAGCAGTTTACACAGTTCATAAAAACAAATGATAAAAATATCAGAAAAATATCAGAAAAATATTTAAAAGTTTTAAACAGCCAAAAACAGATAATAAAAACAGACAACAAGGAAGACTGAAACACCTGATGATCTCCCTCAAGCCCGTGGGTGGCAAACTGAGCACTCTTCACTCCCATTGGGAGGCTCTCTAACTACAATGGGTGTTGTTCCCCATTGGCTACAGCAAGAGAATGGATGGAGTTCTATGGAGCTGTCACCTACCCAGTCATGCTATAAGGGAGGGTTTAAAGCAGCTCCCAGGCAGTGTGTGTTCCCCAATTTGCCAGTTAAACAACTCACAATTTGCCAGGTCTATCACTGCAATCCTATGCACACTTCTTTGGGGGTTAACTGAATAGAAATTCAGTGGGAATGCCTTCTGAGTAAAAATTGCATTATATCAGGGTACAGAATTTATTAATAATTAGTCCCTCTTAAAATGGTTAATCAGACTAATTTATAATTAATCATTTTAGGTTAATTTTAGACTGATCTTAGGAGCTATCTTATTGATGTTTATACACAAAAGATGTGGATCTTTTGGGATCTACAAATATGAAGGACAATCAAAACAAACTCCATCAGACCAGTTGACAGCTTAGTCCAGGAGCAGGGGAACCTGTGATCTTTCAAATGCTGGATTTTGGCTCCTATCAGCTCCAGCCAGCATGGCCAATGAAGGGTCGGGATAATGAAAGCAGTGGTCCACCAACATCTGGAGTGCTAGAGGTTCCCTCACCTTATCTCAGCCTCTTCTGAGGAAGCTATATGAGTAACCCTGCCTGCCAGGCCTTTTCAATTGTGGCATCTCATTTGTGGGATGTGTTGCCTGGAGAGTAAATTCAGTTAGTTTACTTTCAATGTGCTATTTATTTAAAAAAATTTATATGCCGTCCCAATACTAAAAGTCTCTGGATGGCTTACCCCACACCTTGTCTACTCCCTCCAGCAAAACCTTAAAAGTTTAGGGGTGACTTACCTATATCAATATCTGTGAAGCCTTCTGCACTTATTGCATCCATAGTACTTTTGTCTATTGTGTCAAGACAGAGGCTGGCTAACTGTGGTTCATCGAATAAACGAGCCTATCCAAAGAACGTGCTGAGTTATTACACAAATTCAGTATTGTAAGACAGACACGTCAATGAATAGAAACGGTTTCCATGATGAAATATATTTTTAGTCAAACAACCCTAAGTTAATGTTACTGCTTTTTAATATGCAAGTGTTCTGTATACCCCTTCCAACCCCTCCCAGCCTAGACCTGTGTCAATCTAACCAATCTAGTCAAGCTTTCCACTTAAGCTAGATCTGAATCCAGAATAGTATTGGTTTCATACCTTGGTAAACAATTAGCCTGAGTAGCCTTATCTGTGGTTAATGTTATTATTTATGAGACTACCACTGTTAAGGTAGAGGAAGAGAATTCCCTACAGAGAAGAAAAGGCACAATTCCATACCTTTATCACAGTTTCTTAACTGCTGTAGGGATAACATAAACCCTGGGTGTACAATAAATTGCTGTGCATGCTTATGCCACTAATGGAACTTCCTCTGCACAGGGTTGCAACCTTATTGGGTAACTAAGCATCAGTCTCTAGGATTAACATTATCAACTCCCAACATGCTCAGAGGTGGCTGGATTTGATTTTTAAATATTAGAGGTTGATAATTCCAGAGGTGTATTTCCATAACTTCTCTGAAGATATATCTGGGAGCACAGCACATTTTAAGCACCACTTTTGGCTACCTCATGCCATATTTCTAAAGTATCCCTTAATGTGGGACATATTTGTTTACCTAAAAAGCATTATATTAATTCTGCTTTGGTGATCTTGGTCAAACCTCTCAATTAAATGTAAGAACAACTACAACTTGAGCCAAAGAGCCAGTAAATTGTCACACATGTGAAAGGACAAGAAAGTTTGCTAGGCCATGGCTTGTACCAGATCCTCCAACTCATATGGAATGGAATAGCCCAAGCTTAAGCAAGATCTTTTGTAGACAATGGAGGAATTGTTTGTATTTTAATTCCTATTCTGGGCATCATTCACACCTACATCAAAAAGAACTGCTGCAAGATATCAATTCACACACACAGACTAGAGCCACACAATTAGGCAGCTATATGGCACTTCTAATTAGCTCATTAAATATACATCTTGATCTACAGCAGTTCAGCAATAAGACAGTTACCTGAGTAAGCAGCATAAAGGCATTATCTGCTCGAAGATGCTTAGTGAGAAATTCTACACAATGAGCTTCTAGAGCTGGGACAGCATACTTCTTTGCTGTATAGAGAGTGGTCATAACTGTTTCAGGACCAATCTGAACTTCATCTGAATACAAAAACCTAGAAATGAAAGATAAGAGTTAAATGGGTTATGTGATGCATACTCCTTCCCTCATTCCCTTGAATAGCAGACTGAAGTAGCTGAGTTCCTATTTGTTTAGCAATGAACAGGTCCACCCAAAAATATATTAATGACTTCTACATACCTGGGAAATGTCCCAGGTACTCAGAACCATGTATGCTTATGAATTAAAAGAAAATGAGGTGTGCATCTTTTCCTCTCCTATGCAGCTATGTAAAGCTCACACTTGGGAGTAGCAGCCCCTTGGCACTATAGATCATAGCGTAGGAAGGCTGAGGGGATGGGGAGCCCATAAGGTGTCATATATTATGCTCTTCCTGCTCTTGAAATTGAACACCTTCCACCTGCTCTAAATAGCACAATAAGATCTGCTGCAGGTCTCATTTGTTAAACTACACTGAATAGGAATACACAATAAAATCTAAACCAAGTGTACCACTGTAATTTACTGTGATTCTAACATCATTTCAAAAACATGCACACAGTCTAGCCACAAGATGTTACTGATGACTTAAAGCCACCAAAACAAGAAAGGTCACCTTTTCAAAATGACTGTGCACTACTTCATTCAGTAGTTGACATAAAACAAAGACAGAACTATTTGTGCAAACAGCTGTGTTTCTGCAGAAAACTAGCAAAACAAATAGGCTCAAAAGCCTCAACACTTGTAATTTTCTTCTGGGGACAGAAGTTTGACGTACAAAGGATATTATACAGTAAATTAGAACATTAAGAAAACATATTGACCCCAGCCCAAATTATAAACTTGAAATTGTGGACTGAGGCCTATTTATTTATTTATTTGGGTTAACAGGGAAAAATAGTAAAGCAGAGCACCTTGGCTTAAGGTGTGATGAACAACAAGAGCAAGCAGCCTATTAAAATACTGAAACAAAATGGCTACTTACAATCCAGTGCAGAAAACCTGAATGCAAAAGAAGTCCTAACTGGACTATTCTATTACATCCAATGAAATCAAACTGTCTGAAACCTTTATGTAAATATAAATAATGATATTGTAGAATACTAATATTCAGATTGCACTTTATTCTCAGAATCCTAGCCAAGTTAAAGTATTTTACAAGCACATAATGTTAGTTCTGAGGAAAGAAATTCTTGGAGATGAACTCTAATGAACAGAGCAAGACTTACAATCTCATTCCCTTAATCAACCAGACTATTCTCCCCTAGCCTATCCATTATCCAGATCCTCTTGCATCTTATTTCCCTCCCATTCAAGTCAACAAACCAACTAGCAGCTTTAGGTGCCATTTCAGAAGCTTCTTTGGAAGAAGCAAGCCCAACTCAAAAATTGTTTGCTACACTTGACAGCAGTCAAGACTGCAGTTCTAAAAACTCTTATTTGCATGTAATCCCTGTTAAATATATGTTCATATTAACATAAACAGCAATAGGCTGCAAGCCTCAAGTTCCTAGTACTTTTCATTCTGCTAAAGAACTGCTGTTTCTCAGCATGTGCAACGCAAGTTTACCTCAAATAATTGCAGAGAAGCTTGAGTATATGCAAAAAATGAGCAGTGTTCCCATCCTGAAAGGTCAGGCACTGCCTTCAGGTACAAAAACAAAACAAGGAATGCTACAAGGAATCCTAGAAGTCTGGTTCAGAGGACCTTTACTGTTGCCCAGATATAAATTAAGTATTTTGACTTCAGTATTTTTCACCTCAGGCTCTAAGATTGCATTCTCCAGATTGTATGAAGCAGAGCTGTCCCCTCCACACCCAAGTCCATGTTCTATTCCAAATACCTAGCACCACTCTATTCTCCAATAACTGGTCTGAATGAAGACTCAGGCACTGCATCTAGACAATTTCCTCTACCTTATCAAACAGTATCACAAGAATGCAATTCTATTCTTGCACAGGGCAGATGCCAAGGAGATGCTTAACACCAGCAAATCTACTGAAGTCTGCCCTACAGGAAAAAAGACTCCATCAGCCAAGTAATCTCAGGGAGTGCATATAACAGATTTGAACAGATTACAGCATTCCACCAATACCTGGAAGCAGCAAGCCCATGGTTGCTGCTTTGGGTACAGAAGCAAGCCTACAACCCATCCCAATTCATGGCAAACGCAGTTATACCACACATTATTGCATTTACAATTTATACTTTATTATAAAAACTTCTTGTGATAAGTATAAATCAATTTTTATTTAAATGTCATTTTAATTGTTAATATTATTTGCTTATTTTATCTGGCCAGGGCAACTTATTTTATATTGTTAATTTGTTTTACATTTTTAATGTATTATATTTTAATTTATGTTGTGAGCCGCCCCGAGGCTTCAGCGAATGGGGCGGCATAGAAATGTTTTAAATAAATAAATAAATAAATAAATTAGCATTTACACATTTCACCCACACTGCTTTGTACCAGGGTTTAAGGCTACATTCTGTTAATTCACTGGAGCATGATTTCCCCCACCCTATAAATGAGTGGTAAGCAAAAAAGCCTTTCAAATACAGCAGGGGGGTTGTGGCCTATCAAAAGTTTCAGCTTACAGTTCTGATCATCCATTACAATTGGCTATGCTGGTTACAGCCATTGGGAGTGGGCAGCCCAATCACCAGGAGGGCCTTAAGTTACCTTCCTCTGAATTACCCCACTGCAGCTCATCATATTACCATCTCATTTCTAGAATTGTTCCTCTATGCCAAGGGAGCAGCATCCCTGTCCCAAAGAGCCACAGGCTCCTCCAGGGTGCAAATCTGGAAGAATACCCCCTGTTATTGCTCAACACCAGACCTCTCCAATGAGGAGAAAGGCTAAAATGGGCAGAGCAAAGATGTCAGTGGGCGTGTCACCCATAACACTGCTCTGCACCCCTGCTCTATGCTTTCGTTGTTGGCGGTAGCGCTTCCCTTCTCATGAGGCCTTTCAGATTTTTCCCCTAATGCAACATTTCTGACCTTTATTACATTATGTTTTAATTGCAGATAGTATCTAAAATGGTATTATATTATAATATCACTTTTGTGTTCTCAAAAACTGCTTTCAATACATGTTGGAAAACCAATTATAACTATCCCAAATGCTATTTTAATCACTAGGGTGGTTCTTTCCATACTTCCTGGACTCTAAAAACAGTAGACCACCTTTGGAGATAGCATGGGGAGGGAATAAGGGATCCAGTGTGATATAATGCTTAAGAGTGCAAGACTGGATTCCGGAGATCTGGGCTCTAGACCCTGCTCAGCCATAGTTAACTGGGTGACTTTGAGCCAGTCTCAGTCCAAGCCACCTCACAGGGTTGTTGTTAGGATAAGACTGAGAAGAGGAGAATTATGTAAGCCACCTTGAGCTACTTGGAAGGAAAAAAGGCAGGATAGAAATATAATAAACAAATAAAGTGAGTTACTGCTGCCCCCCCCCCCCCGATGAATGCTGGTGATGTGTCCGCCTTTCCTCACAAAGAGGAAGAAACTTTTAGAGAACCAGTAAGTTTAGAGGGAAGTGTGGAGGCAATTCCGATTTTCCATGAGCTTTTCCCACCTTCCATGCTCAGAGTTATGGGCAGCCACATTGGATGACATGCTACCTTGATTATATATATCAAATCAAAAGTTATACCACAGGTCTGAAGGTCACATTCCCCATGATATGACTTATATTTAACATTGCATTTATTTGTAATTGGCTTTTTATAGAATGCAGCCTCCCTCAGCCTGGCATCCTTCGGATGTGTTTTGAGGTCATGGGCAGTGCGGATGATGGAAGCTGTATTCCAAAGCATCTGAAAAGTATCAGACTGGGGAAGGCCTGGAAGGAAATTACATTCCCTATGAAATTAGCATGATGTTTAACCATTCTCATCAGACTCATCCCCTCTCTAATCAACCTACTTAATCACCAATGTCAAACGAGACCAGTCTCCTGATGGTTCAGCAGAACTGGACTGGAATCTGCAAGGATAAAGGCCTTCACAGTAGGGCAGCTCCATTTCCATGGAACTCCCAGCATCTAGAGGTCAGAGAGGCTATTACACTGTGTTGCTTTTGGCTCCTGCTGGACATACCTTTATCTCATAAAGTCTTCCCTGTTTGATGGACCATGTTTTTAATGGGATCCTGTATCCACTGCACTGTTTTTATGTTTTGACTTTTTCATTGTTCATCGTCACATCCTACACATCTATGGAACTGTACACAACCAGTGGAAAGTAATACATAATAGACAGCCTCCCTTCGCCTGAAGGGCAGAAGGAATGACGGACCTTGTGGAGCGGTGTACAAACGCTGTACAGAAACGTGGGGCAGTAGAAAAACGTTACGAACACTCAACTGTCCCCCGCAGGTTAAAAAAAGTAAAGGCCCTGCCCTCCCCACCCCGGCCCTCCTCTTCCTCCCTCCGACAGACCTGAGGAGGGCCAGGAATGCGGCGGGCTCCACGTCGGGGAGCTCGATCTCGGCCGAAGTGGTGGCCATCCCGCCGTTGAACATGGCGTCGAAGACGGCGCTGCCGGCGGCCAACACGAACCGGTGCGCGGGGATGCGCTGCTGGCCGGGCCCGGGCGCGCCTCCTCCGGTTCGAGGGCCGCCTTTGCCCACCACGAAACGGACGTCGCTGAGCAGCTCGTTGGCGAAGAGGAAGGCGAAGCGCTCCCGCAGCGACCGCTTCGTGGCCTGCCAGTTGTACACGGGCTCCCGCTGCACTACCACGGGAGCGGCCGCGGCTGCCGGGGACGCCGCCAGCCCGGCTCCGGCCACCCCCTCGGACGCAGCGGCTGCCGCCTCAGGGCCGCCCGCGGCCGCCATGGCGAATCCGTCTCAGGCAGGCGCAGGCGCAGGCGCACCTCCGACCTGTCGACACAATGGGCGGGCGCTTCCCGAAACGCTTCTGCGCAAGCGCCACGTACGGAACGCCGGGCAAACCCCTGAGGCGTTTGCTTCGCCTTCTCCGCCTTGAGAGCTTGCCCCGCCCACAGCGCGAGCGTCGCGTACGTAGTAGAGCAGGGCGCCTGAGCACCCAGCAAGTGAATGTCCACAGAGCTACTAGAAATTAGAGAACCACTCCATTGTAGGAATAGGTCATTTCCTGGATCACATTAAGAAATGTAGAAAATACGCTGCAGAGCGAAGAGCGCCTCGGAGAAATCGTAATTACAGTCGTAGCTGCGAGTGGGCACCGACCTGGGTTTAACGTAGGTGCGAGGGGACACCAACCTGTCATCCTCCGAATAAAAGATGGAAAATAGGCGTTCCGCTCTTTCTCCTTGTGCGGCTGCTGTGAAAAATGCAGACTTAGTGCCTGATCAGGAAAGAAATGGGAAATAATACTGCCAAGATCATGCTGACCTTATATAGATTTATGATGTTGCGGCACTTAAAATAGAGTGCACAGGTCGGCCCGCTGCTCATGAAAAGGGGCATTATCGAGTTGGAAGATGTGCAGAGAAGGGAAACTAAAATGATCAAGGGCTTGCAGCAGCTTCCCAATACGGAGCGGCTACAGTAACTGGGATTGCCTAGATTGGAAAGAAGGCGACCAAGAAGAGATATAACAGGTGCATAGAAGTATGCATGATGCAGAGAAAGAGGAAGGGGAGATTTTCCCCTTCTTCCATAATGCAAGATCCCACTGGATCCCATGAAGCTGCTTGGTGGGAGAGTCAGGAATAAAAGGGAGGGGTTCACCCAGTGCAGAGTTACAACTATGGAATTCAATGTCACAAGAAGTAGTGATGCCGACTGGCTGGGAGTTTGAGTAAATCCATGAAGAAGGCTATTGACGGCTACTAGTCCTGATAGCTATAAGCCATCTTCAACATCAGAGTCAATATACCTAGCTCACCAGTTTATTTATTTATTTAATTCATTTTCATACTGGCCAATAGCCAAGGTTCTCTGGGCTAATATTAATATTAGCCCAGAGAACCTTGCTAATATTAAACAAAAGTTTAGGACACACACACATACTCAAATTAATTTAAAATAACAATTCAACACAAAAGCATAGTGGCAGTATAGAATAAAATGGAATATATAACAAGGTTAAAAAGTTAGATTGTTTAAAAGTTGGCAAAATAAAGGGTCTTTACCTGTCACTGAAAATAATACAGAGTGGGCGCCAGGCGCAGCTCTTTGGGGAACTCGTTCCAAAACCAGGGGTGCCTTCCTTCTGGTGACCACCTACCTCACTTCCTTTGGAGGGGGCTCCTGGAGAAGGGCCCCTGAAGGCCAGCTCAGGTTACGGGTAGGTACCTATGAGGGGAGGCAGTCCTTCAGATAGCCTGGCCTGAGGCTGTTTAGAACTTTGAATGTTAGTGCTAGCACTCTGAAACAGACCTGGGCTTCAACCAGTAGCCAGCGTAGCTGGAAGAGGACTAGTGTAATGTGTTCCCGTGAGCCAGTCCCCATAAACAGTCTTGCCCCTTGTTTTGGATCCATTGGTGGGGAACATGTATAGGAAGGTGCTTTGCACCCATGTACCTTTCCAATGGGCAGCTGGTTGGCCACTGTGTGAACAGAATGCGGGGTAAGACGGATCCTGGTCTGATCCAGCCAGGCTCTTCTGATGTTCTTCTGGGCTGGGCATTTATTTTCACTTTTAAGCATATAAAGAAAAACAGTCCCTCCCACAGGTTCCAATTCCAGTTGAAATACAGACTTTTCTCCCTGTATAAGATGTAGAGGGCCTACAAGGCTCTGCAATATAATCCATTGCAAAATAGGGAACACCTGTCAGAGCACAGTCTCCTTGCCCAGCATATCTAAGCATTTGCTACTGCGAAGGAATATAGTTTCCCCTCTGTTTTGCATTGTTCCAAGATAATGCAGAGGATCTACTCTAAAAAGTAAAGGCACAATTTAAATGCCTGGTGCCACCTTAGAAACACCATTTTCTCTGTCACCAAGAAAGCCAGGGGCTTGTTGTTTTTTTAAAGGGATGTTGCTTGTTCAAATCTTTTTGTTCCCAACTTGCACCCCTAGTTTACTTTCTGTGGATGGCACTTCTAGCTGGCATCAGAAACGAGGGGAAGGCTATCTCTGTCCTGTGATTTGCCCCGCTGGGTGCAAGGAAAGTCGGCCATCCTCTGCAGGCCTCTTGTCATCTCTGGGCAGCTCCAGGGCTCCACCTGGTGGTCAGAATGGCCCAGCTGCCATAGTTACTGCAGGACGGGGCCAGGCCCTGCTAGAGCATTCAGCCTCCTGAGGAGCCCAGCGGGAGACCCAGGAGCACAGCTAGGCAAAGGCAAGCTCTTCCCTCCAGTGGCATCCTTGGTGACACTTGTCTGCCTGCATCCTGTCGTGAGCTCCAGCGGCGGTATGGTGCCAGTCCTTGGTACCAGTCCTGCCTCCCCTTGCTGCTGTACCTTCTCTCTCGGCCTGGGGAGAGGAATCCCCACGTTGTGAACAATCGAACAATCCACAACTCAACATACTGCTATGTAGGCCTGCAGAAAAGCAATGGCAACGCAAATCCATTATGTTGTTAGGACACGGTAATTATTTTGTTGTCAAAGCTCTTACAGTATACAAGCATTTTTTAAAAAGTTCTTCTGTTGTATCTTGCTCTGAGCAAGGAATGGTCCAGCAATAACATGGGCAGTGGAGCCGAGCCTCCTTCAGTCCGAGGAATGAAATACCAGTATATTGTGTCTTCTAGCTCTTATTGGCAGTAATGAAGTTTAGGGGATGACATTCTGCCATTGGGAATGAGGGACAAACTGCACAAAACCCAGGAAGCTATCCAAAGATCAGTGACCAGGCAGGCTGGATTTGGCCCATGGGTGAGATGTCTGACACCTTGGATTAGAGAGCAGGCTGCTATGGCCCCATCCCAGCCATGAGGTGGCAAATGAGTACAGTTATATAGTTCTTAAGTAAAAAAAACCCTTCAGGACCTGTCCAGCAGTGTCTCTTCAACAGGGACCAAAAAGTCCTCTCCAGGAAATCCACCAGGAGGGTATGAAGCTGGCAGAGGTGTTCTTTCCCCGCATCTTTGCCCATCTCAGAGAAGTGCTTGGGCTTTGCAGGAATACAGCATAGCACTATTTTGTCTTTCAGCAGGAGGGGCCAGTACATTCTCTGCAACCCTCACAGTAGTTCTCCCATTTGTTGTTCTTCTTGTGAAATATTCTGGAGGTAGCTTGGCCAATGAAGACCAATTACTTCCTGGAGGAGATGAAAACTGAAGGGCCTGGTTTGTTAATACCCTTCTACACAACTGTCTTTGGCCTTCCCTTGGGGTGTGGCTGCAGAGAAGGCCCTGGTGAGTCCTGCCCTTCCAAATGGACCACTGCCAACTGGTACTGAGGGGTATACTGCTTCTGAACATGGAAGGTTAATTTGTGACTAAAAGGTACTGATATCAGGTGGACTCTGAGCATAAGGGTGTTAACAATAAGATGGTAAGGTGAATTAATTCACTTAGTGGGAATGTGCTGACCCAGACTTGGTGTATTTGGATGCCTTCCTGTGCATTCTGCCAACTGGGACCCTGGCCTCCAGTCCCACAGTCCTGCCTGGATGGTGCCACTGGCTGATAGACCTGCTCGCCCTGAAGAAGCTGTTCTTTCTTGCCCCAAGAGGACAGTCATGAAAAGCATGTCACCAATGTTTGAATGTTGTGAGAACTCATTCCCATTCTTCCTGGCTACATGTGTTTCCTCTTCACCAAAGAGAAAAATCCAAGCTTGGTTTTCCATGTGGCAAGCAATAATTTATTGTGAACCTTTTCAAGGGGGGCGATTTTTCAGACTTCCCAGACACATGTGATATATTAGCCTTCTCCAGCCTGGTGCCCTGCAGAAAGGCCGGACTGCAACTCCCATAATACCTGGGGGGAGTACAGTCCAACTCAACTGGCGGGCTCCAGATTGGGGAAGGCTGGCATATGTGTATCCTGGCAATGCCAACTTTCAGATTTGATGCTTAGTTTGTAAGTAGCAAATCGTTCAATGGAGGTTCAAATGCAGCTCAAACATCCTACAGGAAGCAAAAGTCCTGCAAACAGAATGCCATATTAAGGCACTGGTGTGACAAAACCTTTTCTGTAGGCTGCAGAAGTTTTTCCTGCTAGACTAGTTGCTTTGTCTTAGACTAATCTACCTTGCAGTGTTGTCAGGGTAAAATCAGGGGGACGTCAGCTGAAGGGGTAAGACTGGTGGTAGAGAATTAGGTTGCTCTTTTAAGTAGCCAGCTGACGAGCAAGGGGTATGTGCATGTGGGGAGGGGTAATGAGTCTGGTCTTTTCCTCCTCTTGAACAACAGCACACAACTTAGTCCACTGGGGTTGCTGCTGGGGAGACAGAGCAGGGCTCATGTGCAGACTGAATGGCCTAGGAGAAACCTGGACCATCATCTACTGTTATCATGGAATCATAGAATAGTAGAGTTGGAAGGGGCCAAGAAGACTATCGGGTCCAACCCGCTGCTGTTGCAGGACGCCACGTTACACCACCCTACTCAGATGGCTGTCCAGGAATGTCTCTCTCCAGGCAGCTGGTTCCACTGTCCTATTGCTCTGACAGTGAGGAAGCCCTTCCTGATGTCCAGCCTGAATCTGGGTTGTCGCAACTTGAACGGATTATTCCTTCTATGTACCCACACCCCCAAGGGAAGGCCAAAGATAGACACTTGCATACAATGGCACCTGGCATCAGCAAGAAGATATCTTGACCTTCCTCTTTGTGACAGCCTTTGAGGTACTTATAGAGGGTTATCATGACCCTCTCAGTCTTCCCAAGGCTGAACATGCCCAATTATCTCAGTCTCTCCTCACAGGTCAGTGTTTCCAAACCCTGGATCATTTTTGTCGCCCTCCTCTGGACCCTTTGTAATTTACCTGCATCCTTCCTAAATCTTGGTGCCCAGAACTGGTCACAGTATTCCAGATGAGTGAGGAGAGTGAGGAATATAGTGTGGAATATAGAGGAACTATTATGTCTTGGTGATTTGGAAGTAACACTTCTGTTAATGCATCCCAAAATAGCATTTGCCCTTTTGGAGGCTGCATCGCATTGTTGACTCATGTTTAGCATATCATCCACATGTACTCCGAGATCTTTTTCTTTTACAGTTCTGTTGAGCCATGTATTCCCCATCGTGTATCGATGCACTTGCTTTCTTTTTCCTAGGTGGAGGACTCAGCGTTTGTCCTTATCGAATCTCATTCTGTTGCTTTCAGCCCAGTGTTCAAGTTTATCAAGATCGCCCTGGATCTTCGTTCTGTCTGCTAGGTGTTTGCTACTTCACCCACTTTTGCATCGTCTGCAAATTTGATTATCTTTGTACTTCCTCATCGAAATCATTAATAAAGATGTTGAGGAGCACTGGGCCCAGGACTGAACCCTGTGGCACCCCATTAGTTACCTCCATCCAAATTGAGAAGGTGCCATTGATGAGAACTCTTTGTGTCCCATTTAGCAGTCATTTTTGGATCCACCTAATGGTTTTTCCATCTAGTCCAGTTTTTGCTAAGTTGCTTATCAGAATGTCGTGTGGCACTATGTTGAAAGCTTTGCTAAAGTATAGATAGATTAGGTCCACAGTGTTCTCTTTGTCCAATTGGAAGGTTACCCAGTCAAAAAATGAGATTAAATTAGTCTGACAGGATTTTTGATAAATCCATGCTGGCTTCCATTAATCACTGCATTTTCTTCAAGATGCTTGCAGATGGATTTTTTAATAATTTGCTCCAGAACTTTTCCAGAGATTGATGTCAGACTCACTGGTCTGTAGTTCCCAGGTTCATCTTTCCCCCTTTTTGAAGATAGGGACAACATTAGCCCTTCTCCAGTCGTCTGGCACTTCTCCTGTTTTCCAAGATTTATCAGCGATAATAGCCAGTGGCTCTGAAAGTTCCTCCACTAGCTATTTTATGACTCTGGATGGAGTTCATAGGGCCCTGGAGATTTGAAAGTGTTTATTCCATCTAGGTATTCCTTGACCATTTGTCTGTCAATCATGGGCTATCGAAGACCCCAAACCAAGTGAGAATAGTGATGTGAGCCAGGTCTTTCTCTTGTCGCACAGATAAATCCGCAGAAGCAAGCTGTTTCCAAACACAAGCAGGAACAAGCCGCATACTAGAGATGTTGTTTTGCAAGAAAAGGCTTTCTCTGCCATTCAAAACAGTGTGTCTCAGAAGTGATTCCATTCGCATGGGGATGATTTCTGATACACTATGTCCGGGTGCAGAACTTTGTGGACTGGGGCCAAATCCAACTCTTCTGGAGTCCTAATCTACCTTCAGGTGTTCCCAGAAGGACACTGCCATGGCACTGAAAAAGATTTTGCTCCCTTGCCCTACTGTAATCTAATTTAGGATGCAATCATTGGCATTTTTAGATAGTAACAACCCTGCAACTTCCAGCGTGCCCCCGGCAGCCATGCATTTGCTGTCTAAACCTGTCAGGACACTCATGCACCATTAAACTGCAAAGCTGAAACAGACAATAAAGTAATGCCATGTTAATTTTTTCCCACAAGTACTTGACCTGAAAGGTTTGGAAAAAAAAGAAGTAAAGCACGTATGTAGATTGTTTTATTTCATACTTATAAGAACTTAAAGAAAAAAGCAGACATTGTTTTTCCCTTCAAATTTAAACAAACAAAGGTACTGAAAATGATTGACGGTAGTTCAGCAGCCCAAATGTTAGCATGCGGTGATCCACAGCTTGGAAAGCTGCAAAACTTGCTTGATACTGGACTCGCAATTGGCATCTGTTCATTGTCATGAAAGGACTTATGAAATGGAAAAATAAACACTGAAAATAAAGCACCAGAAAAAGTTGTTTGGAAAAAATTCTGTGGAGTATTTTTCTGCCCCGTATCACTGTCACATGCAGTGCCAGGAATACATGTCCGATGGCACATGGCTGTGTACCACAGGACGTGCGCAGTGGGCAGCCCAAATAAAGAAATGCACACAGAGAGGGAGCAACACGCTGAAGGATCCCCACGGGAAGGACCATCCTACGGCAAGGGCGCAGAACCTGTGGCCCGGGGCACAAAGCCCGCCCCTGGGTTCCCTCTTTCCTCCACTGCTGACTTGGTGGCTTCCCGGCTTTTCAGGTGTGCCCCTGAAATGCCTCTCTGGAGATTTAGTTACCTGGAGACTGAAGCTGCAAATGCTGGCATTTTTTGCCCCGCTCATTTACTTGGCCTGCACCCTTGTCCTTGGAAGTCATTTTAAAGAAAGTTGAAACATACAGCAGCAAGAACAAAATAATAATAATCAAATCAACCACAAGAATAAATAGATTTTTTTTAAAAAAATCATACAATGCTACAATTACCAAATGTCCATAAGGTAGACCTGCATATTCCTCCAGGAAGTAAATTGTAAAGCTGCAGGGCCACCACCAAATAGTCCCTGTGCTTGGTACCCACCAATCTAGTTCTCCCTGGCAGGCCATATCCTTGTGCTCATCTTCCTGGCTGATGTGCTCATGCTCTTGAGAAGGAGCAACCGTAACCTTCATGCCTCGTGTTCCCTCTGCCTGGGAGTTAATTGGGTTGGTACAGGTAAGCAAAGAGGGAGAGAAGCAAGAACAGAAAGAGGGCAGGAGAATAGGATATATTGCATCCCTCCAATCATTTCAGATGGCAACTCCTATCATCCCCAACTACTGGCCATGCTGGCTAGGTCTGATTGCATTGTAGTTCAGCATAACTGAAGGCTGGGGAAAGCTGGCTACTGACAGCATCTTGCCAAAGCTCAAGCCAGTGAGCTATTTGCCAATCCAAGATAACATTTCCTGCTTCTGATGCAGTGTGCTTTAATTCAGTGAGGCCGATACCAGCCCAAGGATGTGGACCTGTAGTATGGCTGTCGTACATGGTGGGAGCTGCCACACTGCCTGGGGGATTCAGAATGCAAGAACATAAGCCATGCCCTGCAGGATCAGACCAAAGGTCCATCCAGCCCAGCACTCCCTGCACACAGTGCCAAGCACTCCCCCTGCCCAAGCTCCTCAGCAGCTGGGTGATTCAGCACGACTGGGGCTGCCACGGCAGGGAGGGCTGTCCTGTGGCCGCTCCATGCACACAATCGCCCACCTGGCCACACGCACCACTGAACTCCAGGGGCCTTGCTTCTGCCTAGGCACGTGCAGGAAATCTGTCTGGGGATGATGGCTGGGAGTCTCTTATGGCTGGTCTCAATTTGGAGGCAGCTATCCCAGGGCCACATTCCGAGGCTGGGTGCACGTGGGAAAAGGGTGGGTCCATTTTTTAACAAAGCTTCTTGTAGCTTGAGAGGCAACCCTGTGTCTACTAGAAAGAAGAAAACAAAAACAGCCCGTTTCCCAGTCTCCCAACATGTTCGGTCCGGGGAAGGCAGGGGCGCGGAGTTCGTCGCGGGCTTTCTCCTGCAAATGCGCGCTCGATCCGCCAAGACTCCCTGCCTCGAACCGAGCCTCGGCAGACGCGTGTCAACTTCCTAGGAAGGGCCGGAGGGCGCGCACGGGAACCGGCGCTGAGCGCGCAGGGCCCTCGGCCTCCCAGCCCGCCTCCCGTGCCGACTCCCGGGCTGCCCGGGCGCGACCACGACGGCGGGCGAGCGCGGAGGCGGACCGGCGTGGCCAGCGCAAGGCGGACGGGACCCCCGGGGCCGCGCGCTCCAGGCGGGCAGCGGCCCCCGTGCGCGGCGCTGCGGGCGGCCCCGGCCTCGGCCCCGGCCCCGTCCCCGTCCCGCTCCGTCCCGTGGCGCGGGCGGCGAGCCCCGCCCGGGCGGACTCAGCCGTACCGGGGGGGGGGGCGCCGAATGGGCCGTCCGCGCGGGAGCGGGGCGTGAAGGGCAGGCGAGGCGGGCGGCGCCGGCCAGGGGCGGAAAGCCCGGCGCGGAGGCGAGGCGGGGGCGCGCCCTCGGCGGGAGGGAGGGAAGGAAGGAAGCGAGCGCGTCCACCCGCCCGCCCGCCAGCCGCGGGGATGAGCGCCTCGGCGGCCACCGGCGTCTTCGTCTTGTCCCTCTCCGCCATCCCCGTCACGTACCTCTTCAACGCTTTGGCCGCCACCGGCAGGTGAGCGAGAGCCCCGGCCGCCCATCCGCGCGCGCACGCACGGAGGGCGCGGCGCGCGCCCCGGTGCCTGTTCTGCGTGCACGTGTGAACTCTGTTCGCGCGGGACAGGGGGCGGGGAGGGCGATCGGGCCACTGAATAGCTGCACGCGCGCACACGATCACCTGTCCCCGCGAGGGTGGATAAAGAGTTGGCGATGTGCTGTTCGGGGAACGTGCGTGTCAGGGCTCCGCTCTGCCTGTTCGGTTTCCGCCAGGAAGGCAGAGCGCATCTGCCTAACCCGGACTGGATGGCGGCGGAGCTCCGTGGCGGGGAGTCGCCTGGGGGGGAGACCTACTGGGGATGCCCGCGTGTTGCAAACGTGGAGGGCCTGCGCGTGGGGCCTGCGCGTGGCTCATCAGTGCAGGCAGGAGATCCCAGCCTGTCCGGACAGGGCTGGAGGGACCTTGCCCGGAACCTCGGGAGCTGCGGCCAGTTAGTGCCTGCAGCACTGGGCTAGATGGACCCATGGTCTGACTCCTTGGAAGGCAGGCCCCCGTGTTCTTAAATTAACCTTCTGAACTAACTCACTGACCTGGGCGAGTGAGCTGGGAGGGCTTACGCTCTCTCAGTTGTGCCCTGCTGAGTAATGGGTACAGCACTAGCATCGACGCCAGGGTTAGCATTCACGTTGCCAGGGAAGGGGAGTGGCAGAGGTCTACAGGAATACTGCTTCCCATTCGGGGCTTCTCATTCAGGCAGCTGTAGATCTTGAGTGGTTGGACCTTGGGCTGGGTGCCCTGGACAGATGAAGGATTCTTCTGGGGAACCACCCACCCCACTGCCCTTCAGATTCTGTGCTTGAGCTGATGGAGGTGGTCTTGGACTTGGTGATGAAGGCCCAGGATGATGATTCTGCAGGGGGGGGGGGTTGATTTAAATCACTAGTTAGTGAGACTAGATTGAAATCATGGCTTTGCAAGCATACCTGCCTTACCTGTAGGTAGAGGAACTTCAGTAAAATATTCCCAAACTGGGTCTCTCTTATAGCCTCCTGCCATTATAGGTTTTCTTCTGCCAGGGGAGAATATTTATTTATGTAGAATATTTATATGCCATCCTTTCGCAGAGCCTCAGGACAGTTTACATAAATAAATAATGATAAACTGTGATAATACTATGATAAACCTCAGGCTGTACAAAAAAACACGGAAAGACTGTTGGAATAGTCTGCTTAAAAGGTTTCACTTTCATTTCTACTGTTTGCTCCTCCCTCTTCACACTTAGCTTCTTGTGCAGATCTATTCCACTCCCAACATCCTTCTATTCATTGATTTTTTTTTTTGAAATGTAGCACTTCAGAGGTAAGGGGTTGATTCTGTGTATGTAGATCTGCAAAGGAACAATGGGTTTAAGGGTTTTTTTCCCCTCAACTCTGTATGTTTGTTTTATAACTGTCTTGCTGTAAAGAAGAGGCATGTGATTCCTGCAGACAAAATTCACAGTTTTGAGTACTGTAAAGCCAAGCATCTTGTGATAATATCTTTTAGATAGAAAAATGGCCCAATGATCTTATGGAAACCTCAGGAAGAGCATGACATTGTGAATGGATTAATGAAATTCATTTACCAAAAAATTAAAAATTACATGAATACAAGCTCATGTTACTTAATTAAAAACTAATCCTTATTTCGTGATGAATAACCTTTGGACTATAATGTATCTTACACAGAAAACTAAAAATCCTATTTAAATAAAAATCTGGTTTTTTTAATCATTGATGTTTATCCGTCCTGGTTCTGGGGGGATATTAACTTTTGCTGGGGCTGCTGTATCCAGAGCAGCTCAGGACTTCATGGCTGCCATGACAACCATGGGGCTGTCTCAACAAAGGACACCCCCTTGATCTGGTTTTCTCAACAGGGCAGCAGGGCGGTGATCTGGAAGTGGGGGGATTAACACCAACCCCCTTGTCATGGTCAGATCACTTTCTGCCCAGGCTTAGACTTCCAGCTCCTTTTCCTCTCTACAAGGCTGGGGGATCTTTTAAAATGTTCTGCCCAAGAGGCTAATAGATCCAGGTGGTTCCAGTGGAGGATTTCTGACTGGTATGGCTGGCGCTCCTGCCGAAGCCCAGGTCACTCTGTGGAATGCAGAGATGGCTCGGGCGGTTGATACGATCACTCCCAAGTCCGTCTTCCCTTTAGCAAGGCCTGGCCCACCTGAGTTGAGGGCAGTGAAGCAGGAGTGCAGGTACAGGAAATCTTGTGCGGAGTCTGCTCGAATGTGGGTCAGAGTTCGACCCCGAGCCTACTCCGTGGCGGTGAGGGTGGCGAAGAGGTTCTTTCCTGCCAGCGTTGCATCGTCTCAGTGTGGTCCAGCGGAGCTTTTCTAAGTGGCTCATAGCCTATCCTATCCCAGCCCAGACAAAGAAATTGTGGAGCCCTCGGCAGCTCACTTGGAAGATAATGTGCATGGCCCTTGGAAGATAAAGTCACTCAGGTTCATCATGAATTGGACGCCGCGATTGATGCAGCTCCACCAGCAGAGGCATCCGGAGCACCGTCTGATCCAGTTGTATTGGGTACCTTATCCAGTTCCCCAGGAAGCAGATAAGATACTTGGTCATGTGTGCTCAGCCCTTCCCCCTCATGGCGCGTTAGAGCAACGAAGGAAGGGATTTCTACTTGGCCCCGGCCTCCTTGAGAGAGGGAGCGGTGCAAGAGGCTTTCATCAGCGCTCCGGAAAAAGCTTAACCCGGACCCAGAGGATGTACAGGCCAGGTGGCTGAGTGGGTGAAGCTGCACAGTATAGATTGCCTAGATCCATTTGTCAGGGTTCAAGCTTGGAAGAGAAAGTGCCTTGGTCCCCCTGTGGGATAATCTTTGCTGGGAGAAAACTGGGGAGTGCGACCCTGTTGATACTCCTGGACTTTTCAGTGGCTTCCAGTATCATCAACAGTTTTATCCTTCTGGACAGGCTGGCTGGGCTAGGAGTGGGAAGCACTGCATTGCAGTGGTTCTGCTCCCACCTGACCTGCCCGTTGCAGAAGGTAATGCCGGGAGATGATTGCTCTGTGCCATGGCAGTGATGCTGTGGGTACCGCAGGGCTCCGAAATAGCTCCTGTGCTGCTTTACAACTGCATGAAACCACTGGGCGAGGTTAACCCGAGGATGGGCTGAGGCGACACCATATGCAGATGGCACTCAGCTGCACCTCTCCTTTCCCTCAAGGCCAAGTGAGGCAGCGGCCTCCCTGGATCGGTGTCTGAGCACGGCAGTAGACTGGATGAGGGCCAACGAGCTGAGGCTCAGTCCAGACAAGAAGGGGCTGCCGTCAGTGGGTGGTCCATCTGTCCAGTTGGGGGATGTTCAGCCTGTTCTGGATGGGGCTGCACTCCCCTGAAGGACAAGGTTCGCACTTTGGAGGTGCTTCTGGAGTTGTCCCTTGAGGCACAAGTGGACTTGTGCATGGAACACCTTTTATCGGCTTAAACTGATATACCAGCTCCAACCCTTTCTGGACAGAGAGCGCCTAGCTACATTTATCCATGCCCTGGTAACCTCTTGCTTGGATTACTGCAATGCGCTGTACATGGGGCTGCCTTTAAAAATGGTCCAGAACTGATCAACTGTTCCAAAAGAAGGCAGCTAGGCTGTCATGGGGACTGGCTCATGAGAACGCATTACACCAGCCCTCTACACTACTACACTGGTTGAACTCCGGGCCTGATTCAGAATGCTAGTACTAACATCCAAATCCCTAACTGGCTGAGGGCCAGGTAATCTGAAGGATCACCTCATCTCATACGTACTTTTCTGGACCCTGAGATCATCACTGGGGTTCTTTCTCTGGGAGCCCCTTCCAAAGGAAGTGAGGCAGGTGGCTACCAAGATGAGGGCCTTTTCGGTTGTGGCACCCTGATTTTGGAATAATCAAAGTCCACAAAGAGGTGCACTTTTCGGTGCCAGGTGAAGAACTTTTTATTTTCCCAGTATTACAGTAGCTTAATTTTCAAACTTTGTTTTTATATATTCCATTTTATTTTGCCCTGCTGCCAACTTGGTTTTTAATTCTTTAAACTGATGTGTATATCTTTTTAACATTTGCTTAATTTTAACTCTTGGTTAAGTGCTCAGAGCGCCTCAGATATTGGGAAGTAGATTAATAAATAAGATTGTGTTATGTGGCAGCCATGGTGCATATGCTGACGTGGGAGAGGAGCAAGTGGAGGGGTTGTGTATCATCTGCTTATGCTGTGCAAGCACATACAGGGCCCCGCCATGCTTGTGGCAGAAAGGGGCACGCAGCCTCCGCCACGCCATAATTTGGGTGCCCACTTTAAAGTGGCTTCAGTTTGCATTTAGGTTTCCCTGCACCTGCTCTGATAGCGGCCGTTGAGCGTAACCAACACGCAAGCATGGAAGGAGGATCATGGGCGCCACCCAGATCTCATGTACACTGCGCAGGGCAAACTCTGCCTTTGTGCTGAGCCAGCCCTAGCTCCTTACAGGATGGATGGTTGTCACCTTCACGTGCTCCTCAGATAGTTTGTGGGTGTACTAGCTTAAAAGTGTAATGTGGGAAGAGACTCTGACCCTCCTGTGTTCACAGCAAAGGTACTTTTGTTCCCTTTCTTGCTGTTAACGCGGTGTTGAATGCACAGAATCCAAGTTTTAATTAAGTTGCCAGCCAAAGGAGAAGATACATTTTCACATTATGAGAATTTTAGCGGGCTTCTATTTTGCAGTTTTCAGCTTGAAATTTGTTGTTGCCATAGGGTCGCATCCAGACTTAGTCATAATTTGAGTAGACCCACAGGAAGCAATGAGATTAAAGTTAGACAACTTTGGTCCCATTGATTTCACGGAGTTTGTCCTAAGCTTGACTAAATCTAGATCCAGCCCATTGTTTTATACCAGCATCTGAACGAGGGAGGTGAACGAGGGAGATCCCACTTCAGATTCGCTGTTGCATCCTTGTCAACAGGACATAATTGTCATCACCGATATGCAGCGCTTCAGGTAAGTTCCACTAGGTAGGGTGGCTTTAATGACCCCCATATTATAGATGCACAGCCGAGAGATACTCGAAGTTGGCTCGCCTGTGATGGTTGCTTACATGTTCATGGGTTCAATGAGATCTATGTTTGTGACTTCCTTGCTTTTTTCTGAATAAATATTGCACAAGGGATCACATTTTAGCTACTATAACTTCAGAAGCTGCAAATCGCTCATGAGTCCCAGCCAAGAATGGTCAGACTTAAGCGGAAATGCTCTAAAAACGCTTTTCTAGAGTCAACTTGAAAACTTGCGCTGGACGATCAGTTTCAATTTTATCTCCCGCTTTTTATGCCACATGAAAAGAATACACACATGCACAGAAACTGCACGCCTTCTTTGTGTATGGCAATATCCCTTATTGCAAAACATTACAAACTGTGCTGAGAAAAGCCGCATCTCATGAAATGTGGTCTTTATAATTAAATAAGGGTGGTAAATCTGCCTGTTAAGTGTTGAACCTGCTCATTCCACTTAGAATTTTTTAAAAAATACTTAGTAGGATAACAAACTTACAAATAAATAAATAATATCCAGATTTTAAAAAGGATTACAGCTGTTGACCTGTTTTTCCCACATAAAAATGTAGCATTGCAGATTTAATTGGAATATCCTCACCAAACACAGTTGGAGCTTCTGCCTGAGTAAATATGCACAGGTTTGAGCAGCCAGCTTGAAATCCTGCACACACAGTCCTAAACACACAGGGCATTCCTAAGTAAATCCCACTAAGTATATGTCTACTCAGAAATAAGACTAGGATTGTGCTGTAAACATGCGTGTCATGTTTAGAGTGCTTCAGAAGTAAGGAATACCCGTTCTTACACCTTTGTCTATCTGGCACATTTCACTTCATTTGTGCAGGAAAACCTCATGGATGGGGCAGGTTATCCTTGGTGGCTGTTGTGGGTTACTCGATAGAGATGCCAGACATGGGAAATGCTCAGTTCCAGTGTCGTGTGAGGAAACAATCTCGGAAGACCCCGGTGGGCAGGCCGCAGAGGGAGAGAAAACGGGAAGCTGGTCCTTTTGTTGCTTGCATAAGCCCTGGTGGTATTTTTAGAACTGTGCTGTGGTGCCTGCAAGGGACATTGTGTGGAGAGAGAGGCATAACAATAGCTTGCAGCTGCCTTCTCAGGAAGAAGCGCCAGCATCCTCAGTTTTCAAAGGTCAAGCGCCAGGGCCGAGGGCCCTGCCGAAGTCAGATGCCTTCTGACCTGGGAGCCAGTAGCCCTCAACCCCAGATCTGGCTGCTGGCTGGCAGGGAGCAGGCTGTGGTGCTGCTGCCAGTGCTGGCACCCATGGGCACCTGCCAGGGCCCACAGCCCAAGAGGGGCCGCCCTGTGGATCTTCAGAGTTGCCTGGCCTCGTTCCCTTTCCGTCTGGCCGTGTGCTCAGTCAGCCTCTCCTTGTGGAACGGTGGCCGACTGAGGTCGGAGTGGCTCCCCTCCACTTACCTGCCGTTTTCACCTGGGGCCATGGTGTGGTTTGGTGCAGCGGGACAGTCGCAAGGAGGTGGCTCTGCCACCAGATCCGACCCCAGCGCTGGCTGGCTATGGGTGCTCGCTGGTGCACAAAGCCTCTTTTCCCTCTGTCCACTGAGTCTCTTTGAAAGTTCAGTCCTGGAAAGGTTCTGGAGCGCAGCCATAGCAACTCATCACACCCTTTCCCACCCGGCATTGTCCAGATGTGCTGGGCTACAACTCCCAGTATCCCCAACCCCAGCCATGCTGGGTGATGCTGTAGCTTGTAGTCCACCACTGGAGGAATTTGGCTGCAGAACGCCGACGTCCAGTGAGACCCAAGTGCGGAAACGAGGATGGCCTCTGCCACATTTCTACTCCTTCCTCCAAGGGGCTCAGGGCACCATATATAAAATGGGCACTCACAACAGCTCTGAAAGGTAGGCCAGATGAAGAGACGGTCCAGTGGACGTCCTGGCGGGGGGGGGGGGGGGGTTGAACCTGGTATTCCCCAAGGCAGCTCCTCCCCACCCTCCACTGCACTGACTTCCCAGTGTGTCCTGAATAATAAACGGAGGCGGCCCTGATCATGCTGCTGTTGCCATTGGAAGGGGAGGGCCAGTTCCAGGCTGCTTGGTGCAGGGCAGCAAAGCCAACTTACCCATTCAATTCTTGAATATGGAATCTTTCTTTCTAAATAAACATCTGCCACCTCCGTGCTAACCTGAGTTGCTTTCCAGAAATGTGCACCTGCGGTTGCTGAAGCAAGAGAAGCATGCTCAGCTCAAACAGCTTTGTCAGTAGTTTGGAAAACAAGGCTGTCGGAAGTAGAGTTTTTCTCCTTCCTAACATGCTTTTGAACTGCAGGAAACTTAATAAGGGCCAAGAAAAAGTTAACAGATGCCAGAGCTCTGCACTGAGCATGAGAGCAGGACAAGTATGGGACTTGAGAGGCAAGTGCTTGGAATGCTGAGCTCATTATGGGTGCGCTCAGGAAATGGCTTCCATGGAGGGGGCATCCTTGCCCATTCACGAAGAGGTTACCATGGCAAGCACCGCCGGTTAGGAAACACTCATTTCTTGGAAGGCAAGCTGATGAGCCCAAAAGAAACGTAACTTGCCCAAGAGTCAAGGCAGAGGTCAGGTTTGAGCTCCTGCAACTGCAGTGCAGCTTGGGGAGCAATTGCTTGCGTGTTGAGACGGAAAAAAAGACCCACACCTCGTGCATGCCCAGTCACTCTGGCTGCATGGAGCTCACCTTGTTCCCTGTTTAAACTTCCATAGAATTGCACACTACCGTTTCCTTCCTCTCCTTTCAGCCCTTCCCGCACCTCATTTCTCCTTCCCGTCCCCTTTTCAGCTGTCCAGTGATCACAGGGTCGCTTTGTCCATCCACTGAGCTGCAGTGAAACCTCCTTCGTGCAACAGATCGTGCAACGCTCTGGTTGTGGCACCCATAAAGTGTACTGGAGATTTGGAAAAGTGCAGAGAACGGTGGCCACAAGGATTAGGGGCTGGAACACTTGACCCACGAGGCAAGGGTGTATCAGTTGAGACTGTTTGGTTTAGAAAGCAAGCAAGTAGGGGCAGACCCGATAGAGGTGTACAGAATTATGCATGGTGAGGAGGCATTTTACTCCTTCTCCCATAATGCTAGGACCCAAGGGGTCTTCTCACAAAGTTGATTGGTGGGCGATTCAGGACAGAGAACAAGAAGGATTTGCTTCACTCAGTGCAGAGTTAAGCTGTGGAATCCACTATCATGAGATAAAGTGATGGGCGCCAAGCTGGATGCTTTAAAAGGGGACAGGGAAAATTCAAGGGGGAGAAGGCTACCCGTGTCCATCAGTCTTGGCATAGCCACCTCTGGCATCACAGTCAGTACCAGTGGATGCTGCATGTGGGCAGCTTGGGCGGGAGGGCGCCTGTGACCTGCCTGTGGGATCCTGGGGGCAGCTGGTTAGCCACGCTGGGAACAGGAGGCCGCACTGCATGGACCTTTGGTCTGATCCGGCGTGGCTCTCCCCGTGTTTTTAACCCCTGGCTCGCTATCTGAAATTTAACAACGCTAAAAAAAAGCACAGTTCACCTCCCCCCACCCTTTTTTGGGCATTATTTTTTGCAAAGAATCAAGGAAGTGACATGCACGGTATGTTTCCTAATGAGTTTGTACAATACCTTTTGCCCACTCAGCGACAGAATCATCATCTGATTTTGCAAAAGGAAAAGTCAAGCAAGCCTACAATGCAGCGAGATATTTTTCTGCACTAAAAGGATGAAAACCAGAGTGGTGTGGAGGGCAGAGTGCTGGCATGGGGCTCGGGGGGGCTGGTTCCATTCCCCACTTGGTCATAACTCTGAATGACCCGGGGCCAGTCATAGACTTGGCCTAACCTACCTCACAGGGGTGTTATGAGGATAAAATGGAGAGGAGAATCATGTAAGCTACTCTGGGTTCCTTGCAAGAGAGAATAAGATGGGAGATAGATGCAGTGTAAGGATGCTGATGATGCTTCAAGGGCAAATTTGGTGCATGCTCTGAAGGGGAGTTGCAGGGAAGCTTGTTCACTGTTAGCGGGTGTGTTGTGGAGGAAGCAGCACCGGGCTTCCAACAGTCAGATTGGTTTTATTTGCAGAAAGCGAGAGGCCATGGAGATCCCCTCTCCCAGTCTCCTTCAATCTCTCTCTCTTTTCCCCTTTCGGTTTTGACTGCCGCAGCTCCTGGGTCGTGGTAGGGATTGGACTGTTGGTTCTGCTCCTGGTGGGCCTCGCTGCTCGGTTCTTGGTGAAAAGAAAGCCACCACGAGACCCTCTCTTTTATGGTATGTATTGCTGGGCAGCAGTACGTTAAATAGGAGCATCTCCTGTATAATATTGTATGGGTGTTAAAGTGGTTCATCTCTGACGTAATGGGAGTCTGTGGTTTGGTACGACATCCAGCTACTCAGCTTGGTGCCCTCCAGGTGTTTTGAATTTCAGCTCCCATAATTCACCATGGTGGCCAGGAATTGTGGGTCCATGGTGGCCAGGAATTGTGGGTCCGTGGTGGCCAGGAATTGTGGGGAAGTCTGCATACAGGCTGTGGTGAGCCATGCGCTTCTGTGCTCTCCATCCTCCTTTGTGTCCCTGAGCAGGAGTTTGAAAAGTTCCTGCTTTAAATTTGAAAAGACCCACAACTTCCTCTGATGTTAAAACTTGAGAGATGTTGGTTTCTTTAAACTATGGTAAGCATAGTTTAAGAAACCAAAGTTCCTCATGATCAGATGTTACAGGGAACTGTGAAGAATTTAAGAGGGAGAGCTCCTTAACATGAAAGAGAGAGGGTACAAGCCTGAGGTTTGTTGAGGCTCGTTCTTATGGTGGGAAAGCAGGCCGAGCCAAGCCTATGCATAGCTAAGCCTGGACGGCATAATCCAAGTTTCACCAAGCTGCTAGCTCAAATGCTAGGGCTGGGGAAGGTCATATGAGAAAGGTCTGCCCCAGCTGCATCCCAAGAAGCTCTGGGGAGCATCCATGACATTATGCAAGGTAGCTCCGCAGGAAGCAGCCCTGGCACATGCAATGGTCCCCAAAGAGTTTCACCCCTAAAGCAAGATCCATACCCAGCAGCCTAATCCATCCTTCCCCAGTACAGGGCCCTCCACATGGTTTGACGACAACTCCCAGCACTGCTGACCATTGGTCATGTTGCACAGGACTGATGGGAGTTGAAGTCCAGTGAGCACCTGGCTATTGGGGTGGGGGCAGGGGCTGGTCTAGTTACTGCACTTCATCAACCTTTAAGAGTAGAGTGAACCATTAGTTCAAAAAAACCAGTCTTAATTAGGTATGTATTAACGTCTACTCCTCCTTTTCTTCTTGTACCATCACAGTTTATGCCGTGTTTGCTTTCACCAGCATTGTGAATTTGATCATTGGGCTCGAACATGATGGAGTGATAGATGGATTCATGACCCATTATTTGAAAGAGGTAGAGGACCCCTGCTTCTCCCCTCCCTCCCAGTTCCTTTCCCTCCTGTATCCTGCCTTTTGTTATGGGACATCTGAGGGCTGGGCTCCTTCATCACTAGCTGTCGTAAGCTGCAGTGGGGGTGGCTTGGCCTGAGGAGCAGATTCACCAAGGCTGGGGAAATGGGTGGAGGACGGGGAAGGAGGAGCCTCTGAAGCGGTGGGAGACGGGCGTGCCCTTTGGGTGCTAGTGCTGAACATTTGCTGATGTCGTTTCCTCCCACCAGGCAATGCTGTCCAGGGTATTGACTCCTTGGACTCAGCCATTCATTGGAGCAGATGGTAAAAAACAGCATAACTATGTGTCTAAATAGCATTTTTGGGCAGGATCCTAAATCCATTAAAGTGATTGTCACATTATTGCCTCAAAGGAGCGGGAGGATTCCTTTGAGCTCATCCAAATCTTGCTGCATTCGCTTGCAAAGATTCCTAATGGACTTGTATGGAGCGAAGGTGAAATTGCATTTCAGCTCGAGCAAAAGAACCTTGCACCAAGAGTACCCTTGTGCTGCGCTAGGCATCCATGTTCCGTCTGTTTCCATAGAATTTTGCAAAAACAAGGCAGTGCGCAAGGCAAATAACAAAATGCTGCCCGGATGCCTGGTGTGTTAGGATTTGATAATTTTACATGTCATATTTGGTATGAACTCCGATAGCAATTTTGGTGAACTGAAACTGGAGATGCCATCAGAAGGCATGTTTACCTCTGGATTGAATGGATGTTACCAGGTTTGTTTTTACACACGTTATTCTTATTCCCGTGTTTCTGATCTGATTTTGTGATCCAGTTCGAAAATGCACTTACTTTCCTTAGGGAGAGCCCTACCTGAACACTGCGTACGGCCACATGATCTGCTACTGGGATGGTTCCGTCCATTATTTGATGTATCTCTTGATGGTGGCAGCTATTGCGTGGGAGTAAGTTGGTTTAACTCTTGTCTGGGGAGAGGCCTTGGTTGATCTTTCCCACTTTAGAAAACATCAGCTCAAAATAGTCTTGCAGAGCAACTGGAAATAACAATGCCTTTGACTTTTGCTTTGTTTGCCTTTTTTCCCTCTGTTGGAAATTTGTATGCCCTGCTTGTCTACTGAAGAAACCGATTTACAACTAAATAAAATCACATTATCACAACAAAAATAGACTGGCAAATTACAAAAACAAGAAACAAAACCAGCTAGGAGAAAACCCCCGCACAGCGTAAAGCAGCAGAAACCTGGTCTAATTGCCAAGAAAGCAAGGAGGCAGAAATAGTTTTGGTTCCCCCTCAGCTATTTGTTCTCATGTTCATGGCACTTTTTTTTTTCAAGACCTGAGATGAAGCTGACGTGGGGAATCGCAATTTCATGAACTGGCACCCCTAAACCGTTGGGGACTGTCTTGGGTTTCCCAGCAACACCCGAGTGCCCTTGTTCTAGCTGCCAACATTGTTGGCAAACCTGTAAGGAAAAGCTTGGCCAGTGCGTATATACAACGGAATGGACAAATGCTGTGCGATTCATGACGACAGCCTCAGCATCTCTGGCCTTTCTACATTCTAGACTTAGAACAAAACTGTCCCCAACTGCTGAACTCTGGTGGTGGAGCAGAAACTCAGCACAAAAGCATCGTCACTTAAGATCTACAGCTGAACACAACAACAAAATCAATAAACACTACAATGGACCCTTTGTTCTCATTCGGGATTGTTTGTGGTTAACAACCCATGGTTAACTGGCTCAGCCATGCTTGTAGGATGCAACAACCCAGCATTCTGCAACCCATACATATCATGATATGCAGAGCAGAATGGTATGATGTATCTCCAGAAATGTATAGATAGTAATTGAGCATTCTGTATTTCCACTGCAGGGAAAGTTACCGGACTATTGGGCTATACTGGCTGGGATCCATTGTGATGAGTATTGTAGTCTTTGTGCCGGGAAATATTGTGGGTAAGAAAATGTCACTTCACCAGCTTTGCTTCACTTTACCAGCAGAAATTTGACTTGTTTTCAGGCTCTTGCATTTGGTGCAATAGCAATAATGATTTAGAACACAAGTTAAATGAAATACATTGTTGCATAACTGAAAACCTCTTTGGAAATTTCAGTAAACAAAAGAAAGCAGACTTAAGCCATAGTTTTTACTCTGAAGCTTGAAGTACACATGGATTTGTATTGTTTGCCTTTTAGGAGGACAATCACAAATACTCCCTTTGTTCTTCCCTTTTGTTTTTGAGTGCTTAACCCTCAAAGAAAATTCACTTAGGGCTGGTTCAGATGTTTGTAAATTGCTCCTCACAGAAAGAACTTTGCCCTCCTGGGACTTCCACCCTTGGGAAGGAGTAACACCTAGCCAGGGTCATCCACGGGTACAAATCGCTCCTGCATTGGGAAGCGTGTTCTGTGTAGGCAATGACTTTAAAAGGCTGCAAGGTAGAAAACTGTGTCAGGTGAGGGAAAATACACAGTATAGATGGGCAAACCTGCAAGCAGGTTTGAATTATGGATAGGGATTTTGTGATGCCTATGGTTTTAATTTCCAAGAAATGCCCAGAGAGCTTTGACTCTTGGACGTGTTTAAGTATAGTATAGTATAGTATAGTATAGTATAGTATAGTATAGTATAGTATAGTATAGTATAAATGACTGCAAATGAAAACAAGCAGTGAGTACTAGAACACTTAAAGGTAAAAGTAAAGGTAAAGATAAAGGTTTCCCCTTGACGTTAAGTCCAGTCATGCCTGACTCTCGGGGGCGGTGCTCATCTCTGTTTCCTAGCCAAGGGAGCCAGCACTTGTCCACAGACAGTCTCCATGCTCATGTGGCCGGCATGACTAAACACCGAAGTGCACAGAACGCTGTAACCTGCCCACCGAAGTGGTGCCTTTTTATCTACTTGCATTTGCATGCTTTCGAACTGCAAGGTTGGCAGGAACTGGGACGGAGCACGGGAGCTCACCCTGTTGTGCAGATTTGAACCGGAGACCTTTCGATCAACCAGCCCAGCAGCACAGCGGTTTAAACCACTGTGCCACCTGCAGTCCCCACTAGACCAGTTAGTGCTGACCAAATAATAGTAGTCCAATACAGAAATAAGTATTGGTCTACTGCAGCCAAGGGGGATTTGTGGAGGAACAGGCTGCCAGTGGTTACTAGTCCTCATGGCTATATGCTACTTCAGGTCTCAGAAGCAGTATGCCTAAGCCAACCAGTTGCTGGGGATCATGGGCAGGAGGGTACTCTTGCATTCCTGTCCTGTGTGCGGGTTTCTTATTGGCAGCTGGTTGGCTATAGTGGGAGCAGAGTGCCGATCCAGCTGGAACCTTCTAAGGACTTTCTTAGCCCAGATGGCAGTCTGTCTCCTTCCCAGTTGAATAATGACTCCACAAATGAGTTACCTCTCCAGGCTCTACCACTTGAAAAAGATACGGCTGATATTTCGTGGCAATGTTGTCTACTGCCTTGTTCACTAAGCAGACCCGTCAATATTTCAAACAGCTATTATGTTGAGAATTTGGCAATCTCTGAAGCTATTTAAATGATTACTTAGTTAAAAGAGAGATGAGTGAGCAAGTTATTGAGCAATCCTGTCTGGTTATACTTGGAATTAAGTCCTGTTAAGTTCAGTGGGCTTACTCCCAGGTAAGTGGATCTACATAATTGTAGCTCTTAAGCCTGAGGCTGCAGTTATACCTGTGTTGTCCTGAGTGTAAATCCCACTCGACTTGGCTGGATTTACTTCTGAGGAGGCCTGCAGAGGATCATGCTGTAAAATGCTTTACTTAGATGACAGCCCTGACCTTATTGTGTTGTTGTTATTCATAATAGGAAAATACGGAGCGAGAGTTTGTGCTGCATCGTTGTTAAGTATGCCATACATTTGTCTCCCAATATGGGCTGGATTCAAAATCTATCATCAGCCTTCTGCAATGGGTGATTCTCCAGCCAAGGTAATAGTTTAATCTGCATTATTAAGGAAATGCATGGAAGGGGGTGTTGTTGGGTTTCAAAAGAGCATTTGTTGTCTGGCTCAAAAATAGCTTAATGGAAACCAGAATATGGGTAGGCAACTTGCAATCCTCCAGAGGGGTGTGTGTTTGTAAAACATTGTTTATTTGTTTGTTTGTTTGTCCATTTAAGTTTTATACCACCCAATAGCTGAGGCTGGCTGAGTTCTTAACAGAAGTTAAAATTAAGCAAAAGTTTTAAAAAACGAACAAACTAACATTGATTTAAAGCAACAAAGCCATAACAGCAACTGCAATTTAATCAGCACAGAAGCATAGCCTTGGTACAGAATAAAGTGCAATATATAAAACAAAGTCAAAAAGTTAAATGGCTAAAATGCTGGGAAAATAAAACGGTCTTCACCTGGCATGGAAAAGAACACAAAGAAGCACCAGGCGCACCTCTTTGGGCTCTTCTCATCCCTGGGGTGGTTCCAATCTTTCATCAGCCCTGGCCAGCAGGGCCAGTGTGTTGGGCGACCCCTTGTACCTTGCACCGTCTCTGCGTCCTCATTTCCAAGCGATGCTGAATTCAGAGTAGCCTGCCCCATATGCTATAGGGAGGCTCCTTTTCCAAATGCCATCTGGCATCTAAAGAACTGGCCAGCTGAGAAAGAGAAGCGGCATGAAAGTCCCCTCTCCTTTCTCACTCTAACTGGACTGCTGGTGGCAACTTGGGAAGTGCAGATTGAAGGAAACGGAGTTGGGTGTTGTTGACCTGCCTGGGAGGCCTGCAGTGCAGATCACACTAAAAACACTTACTAAAATATTTACAACACACTAAAATGCTGCATAAAAATATCTCTCTTCAGGTGGAGGAAAATGCAGTCAATTAGCAGTTGCAAAATAAAGCACAGCCTACACAATGTGAGCCCAGATTTTGTTCATTTTAAACACGTGTTGTTTAAAAGGCCTGGGTGTTTCAGAGAGAAGATGCGCAGAAGTTTCCTTTTGTGTTTAAATGTGTCATTTTAATTCACCTTGGAGTGTGACCATTTCACCAATTATAGCTAATCCATATGGCACACCCACTTCCTTTGCATTTGAAAATGTAGCACTTTATTTTAATAACAACAAATAGGTTGCATTTGATCATGTGTTAGTCAAGGGCTGCTATTTCTTTTCTTTTCTTTTCTAAAATTGTTAGTTTTAAAAAGTTTAACCCAGTGATGAAATTGCATTTTCTGTAGGAAAGTAAAGCAGTTTCATAGTATTATAAATTGTGAGAATGCTTGCCACCAAATAAGGGCTGTTGAACTGTTGGGAAACCTAACCAGGGAAGAAGTGGGAAAGAAATTATGAGATCAAGATGATCCCTCTTGCCTCTCACAACCTTTTGGCTCGTAGTTCATTCTGTCTCTCTCTCTCTCTCTCTCTCTCTCTCTCTCTCTCCAGCTTGAGGTGAACATTTCTTGCATTTGGTGTTGTGCAAAAGCTTAGGCCATAACTGATTAATCTTTAAGCTGTTACAAGGTCCTCCCTTTGACAAAGTGTTTTAGTAGCACTTTGGTGCATGAATACACCACCAGTTTCAGTTCAAGAGTTGCAGGTGCAGAAGACATGGATTCGGGTTTGCAGATGACAGTGACTTAGAATTCCAGTTTAACAGGCCTTCCAGTTTTGTCTGAATTCCTGAGTTTGGATAAGCAAGGACAAAAAGTTATTCTATACACATCCTTCTCTCAGGACATGATAAACTTCTGGCTGTGGTTTCCCTTTCCGAAATCTCAAGAAAGCCATACAGTGAAGGCCAGAGTGGGCACCAGTCATCCTTGGGCAGTTGCCAGACTCCCAGAGTTCTGTCAGGGCCCACCGTGAATGGCTCTTCTCTGCCCCCCTTTCCCTGGGCTTCAGCTTTTAGTGGCCTTTTCCCTGCCAAGCATGGGGCTCAAAGTACTACTAGGTAGCCTGGTTTAGTTGTTATAATTTCCCACAGTGCCCTGGAGCAATACATATGAGGGGGATGATGGGAAGTGAAACTAGAAGCTTGATCCTGGGACTGTTTAGGGCACTGTTGTTGCCTTCCAGGACTACCAGATCTGCCCCCCAAAAGCCCTCCAATACAGGAAGGCACCTGCTGGCAGAGAAAGAAAAAGGGCTCAGGTCTGCTGTGAGCTGGACGCCACAGTTAGTTGAGTTCAGTCTCAGGATGTTTCCAGTGTGCTATTCTTTGGCCCCGTTCCTTTGTGGGAGTCTCAGTTATTGCAGCCCAAGGATGTGGACAAGGTACTTGGCTTTGCCCATCCTACCACGCACTCAGTCAATCCTTGCCCTCCGTGGCTTATTGGAGGAGCTGTAGAGGGGGTTCCGACCTGGTCCAGGGTGCCATCAATGCCTCCTTGAGAGAGGGAGTGGTCTTAGCCTCTTTGGAAGAGGGGGTATTAAGACCACTCCTGAAAGGCCAAACTTTGACCCAGGGTTGGACATCAACTACCATCCAGAAGCAAACCTTCCTTTCTTGGGCAAGGTGTTGGAGCAGATGGTGGCTGGGCAACTCCAGGTATTCTTGAATGAAACAGATTTTCTAGATCCAGTTCAATCAGGTTTCAGGCCAGGATTTGGGACAAAGACTGCCTTGGTTGCCCTGAATGATAACCTTTGCTGGGACACAGACAGGGGGAGTGAGACCCTGTTGATCTTCCTGGACCTCTCAGCAGCTTTTGACACTACTGACCACGGCCTTCTTCTGGACCGGTTGGTTGGGATGGGAGTCTGGGGTACCGTGTTGCAGTGGTTCCACTCCTACCTGGCCAACCATGTCCAGAAGGTGATGCTGGGGGATAGGTGCTCTGCCCCATAGCAGTTACTCCATGTGGTTCCACAGGGCTCCGTAATATTCCCCATGCTGTTTAACATCTACATGAAACTGCTGGGAGAGGTCATCCAGAGGTTTGAGCTGAGGAGTCAGCAGTATGTTGATGATACCCAGCTCTGCTTCTCTACCTCTTGTTTACATCTAATCCTGATGAGGCTGCCTCTGCTTTGAACTGTTGCTTGGACTGGATGAGGGGTCGATCCGTGGAAGGTCAGTCCAGACAAGAAGGTCATTCTGTTGGTGTGTGGCTGTTCTGACAGGTTGGAGGGATTTCAGCCTGTACTGGATGGAGTTGTACTCTGCAGCTTGCAGGGTGCTTCTGGACCCAGGACTATCACTAAAGCCCAGGTCGTCTCACTGGCCAGGGGCACCTTCCTTCAGCTGCGGCAAATAGACCATCTTCATCCATACCTGGTTGGATAGAGCCTTGCCACCGTTGCGCATGTACTGGTAGCATCCAGACTAGATTACTGCAATGTGCTTCATGTGGGGCTGCCTTTGAAGACAGTCCAGCAAATTCAACTGGCCCAAAATTGGGCGGCATGGTTAGTAGCAGTGGTCAGTTTGTATACCTGCATAACACCAATGTTGCGCAAACTGCACTGGTTGCCAGTTGTAGCCCGAGCCCAATTTAAAGTGCGCATTTTGATGTATAAAGCCCTACATGGCGTAGGACATGGCTACCTACAGAACTGTCTCCTCCCACCCATTAAGGTCTGTGCAGGAGGTCATTCCGAAAGAACCGTCCCATAAGGAGGTGCAGGGGCAATGAATAGAAGGGCCTTCTCAGTGGTTGCCCCTCAGTTATGGAAGAGACTCCCCAAATAAATTTGCCTGGCATTAACATCGTTATCATTTTGGCGTCAGGTGAAGACCTTCTGTTCTCTGAGTATTTTAACTAATTTGAGAACTGTTACTTATGCTGATACATTGTTGTCCTGCTTGCCTTATATAATTATGTTACTGTTGAAATTAGTGTGATTTTATTATATTTTATTATCATTTGTTTTATAGTTGTTTTTAGCATTTGTTATTATCAGTGTATTGTAAGCCACCTAGAGAATCCATTGTGACTAGTGGGTGGCATATACATTTAAAAATAAACAAATGGCTTAGGAAACCAAGCCATTAAAAAAATGCTGGTAACTTTTTTCCTAAAAAAAATTGGGAAGTGAGATAGACATGCGTGTGTACTCGGGCATGCATGTGCATGCGCATTACACATTGCTCAGGTGAGCTGCCACATTTAAGAAGGCCGGTGGAACCATCCTTGGATGGTGGGAGCACTCGTTACATGCCTTCATCTGAAGACCCCAAGGCAGGAGTTTGGGAACCCATGGTCCTTTAAGTGCTGACCAGTCATGTGCTTCCTGGGGCTGATGGGAGCTGGAGTTAGCCCGCATCTGTGTCAAAGGCATGGAGATCTGTGTGTGACAGAAGCAGCAGCTGTGTTGCTTCAGACTTGCCTTATGAAGGGAACTAGTAAAGGAAGGCCTCCCCACTGTTTATATCTCACGTTCTCCTTCTGTAGGCATTGATGCATGTTTTGCTGTAGTTTTGGCTCACTGGGCTCTCTGCAAGCACGTCCAAGGTATAAACAAATGTTATGCTCACGTAGCTGTCCCCTCCAAAATGCCCCCCCTCCCGGGCCCAGTCAGTGTTGGCTCTCCCTTCCCCCACCCTTGGCTGGCAAGAGATTTTATATTTCCGTGGTCGTCTTTTCTCGAAAGAGCCACTCTGCCCCCTCAGCGCCCACTTGAAGTCTCCTGAGAAATTGTGCAACTGCCCACACCGCTCACAGAGATTATGGTGTGACACATCAGCAGGAGGAAGGAAGCTTTGCTGGTATTTGATCGCCTTTATTACCTGGGAGCTGACCAAGAATCCAAGATGGTGTTCCAGGATAGACTGTGTTGGTTACACCGTGGCTTGAACACAGATGAAGGCTAATCAGCTGAAGTTACCTCAGGAAAGATGCTTGGGGCACATTGGTGTCCGCAGACACCGCTTTCCTATCCCTGAGTCAGGAACTCTTATTTCCAGCCCTTAATAGTGTTTAGTATTGCTTGATTTAATTTCAGCTTGGAAGTGTTGTGGAAAGTGCAAATCTTTCCTGTCATCACTTATAACTTTACTGTGTGTTGTTGCTGAACTTAAGTAGGTTTTCTCCTAACTGAGTATCATTTCATGTCAGGAGATTATGATGAGAGGAAGTCCATGTTTATAAGAATGGTTTTCCTTTTGCATAGCTCTTGTGTCCTGTTGTTGAGAGCTAAAATAACTGAGCAGTGAAATCGCTTGGGTTGGCTTTGTCCCAGGAACTCTACGCACTATTCCCAAGCAGGTAGCTGTTTTCTGTTTATTGAGAAGGAAGCAATTTCTGCAAAATATCCACTTAGCTCAGAATAGTTCTGCTCTTGACAAACATGAGCTTATGTTTTGATAAATGGAATGCCCTTACATCAACAGCGTGGCTGTTATTTAGCTCTTTGATTTGTTCCGAACTCTCTGCATACATTTATCTTGTCCTAGTCCATATACCAATGCCGTAAGGTCATCCCCGTATTTCAGGTGAGGCCCAAAGCCAAGGAAATAGCTCACCTGGCATGTCCATGGTAGAGGCAAAATTCAAGCAGGTCTGTTAGCCATGATTGGTCTGTGGTTGGTTCTGAGGCAAGTGAGAGTTTGATGTTCCCCATCTGCTCTGGATGGGGGACTGCATGCTTTTTACAGGTGCCTGCAGCAGGGTTACAGAGGGGCCCTGGTGCAGAATCCACCCGAAGACCCTCTCCCATGTCAGTGCCCCTGCAGCAGAATCCTTCCCAGGAAATCGTGGCAGGGAGAATTAGCACAGGGATACGCACCAGAAAGTCCCCCACTTGTGTGAGTTTGGGAACTGCTATTTTAAGCCTGGATTTTAAGTATCCACAGCACCATTAGGAACACTGTGGGAAATTACACTGGCAATTCTCCCAGGGGCTGCCATTTAATTCTCCACTGCAGGAAAGAGCTCCTGGACCTGGTTGCAGAGAGACCCGTGTGGGGTCAGCAGTGGGCTGTGCTTGCCTGCTGGAGCTCCAGAAGCTGCTCAGGCCAAGGGTGCTGTGTGCGAATTCTGGCCCCGGTCAAGCTCGGCCCCTCAGATGGCAGGCTGCAGGGCGCCTGTCTTCCTGGCCAGGCCTGCTCCTCCTGCCCCTCTCTGGCCAAGAGGGCGGCGCCGTCTTCCTGCCGTGCCTCCGTCCAGCGTCCTTGCTGTGCCACCTTCCCCACACGCCCCAGGCCTGCTCTCCGTTTGGGCAAAGCTGCCCACGGCTCTGACTGGGCCCCCTTTCACCCTCTCCCGTGGCTTGTGGCACCGGCAGAAATGTACGTTCGATTGCAGACTTTCAGCGACACGTCTTGGAGCGAGCGTCTTCATATTTCCACTGTGTGTCTTTTGCGGAGGGCTGTCCCAGGGTGCTCCCAGGCAGAGCTTGTGGCGCTCTCCTTCCGCATCTACAACTTTCCTTCTTAATGGATGTTTTTCCCTGGAAAGGCTACAAAGGGAAGAAGACATCACCTGAGCAGGGCACCGTATTCAACCTGTCTTGAAAGCCCTATGTGGCCGGCCGGTTGCTCTTCTCATGCACTTCGCAGGTTTGGCGTTCATCATTAGAAGCCCCCAGTGGCCATCTAAGGAGCCTCATGTCCCACTAGGAACCTGGCTGGGAATTAAGAGCCATGGGAGAAAGGCTTTAGCAAGTGTATTACCTCCAGGGGCCCATTGGCAGGCAAGCTGCACCTGCTGATGCGATAGCATCCCCCTCTTCCGGCAGAGAAACCTGGGCTGGCGAGCCTGCATCGCCCTCTGTATGGAGAAAGTGACTTTGGCTTCCCAGGGGTAGAGAAGGGCTTTTATCTCCGGATGTGCTGCTTTTTTCTAGTGCTGACCCATCAGAAAATGCCACTTTTAATTCCCTGCTGAAGATTGGGTATGGCACCTGGGAGAGAAGTTGGCAAGCCAGATTGAGAACTTTTAAAAATAATGTTATATTGGAGAACAGTAAAGACTCTTGTGACACCTTGAAGGCTAATTTATTTGTTACGATGCAGACTTTTGTTATAGCATGAGTGTACTTTAGTCTAAGAAAGCTTATGCTATAATAACCTTGTCAGGCTGTTATGATACTATAAGACTAAAGGGTATTTCTACATGAAGCATTTATTGTGCGCTTGTTCTTCTTTATTCACAGTTGCTTAAAAGTTTGTGCTTCCATGCCTAACCTGCATGTTTTTTACAACAGTGAAAATGCAACATTAATTCTTAAAGTGAAAGGAAGTGTAGTGTCCTCTTGTATATTTGTGCTATTCCATGGCACCATCCTGCCACCTAGAAGTTACGTAGAAGAAAAACAGAAAAGGAAATGCTCCTTATGAAGTGCTTAGATCTCAGTTCTGTGATGAAACTAGAATAGATAGAACAAATTAATAGCTAATTAATAGCCAATTAAACTGCGAAGCCCTTAAAGCATTATGAATAAAGAATAATGTTTTGTGTAGAAAAAATGTTAAATTGGTCCTGGAAAAACAAAACAAAACAGGAGTCTTACAGCACTGTAACAGTCTAACAAAGTTATTATGGCACAAGCCATAATAAGCTAAAGTACGTTTGTGTAGAAAAATTCTAATGTAGCTGTGCTCCGGGAATTGTGTTGCAGGCAATCCAAGAAGTGCAACAAAGGAATCTTCTGAGAAGGCCTGTAGACCTGCTGTTGGCTGCATACTTCATCTTTGCAACCGGATTTTGCCTGTTTAGAGGCATGGTAAGATATATCATGCGTTCACTTTGCAATGAATGAAGTTGGTAACAAATCATATACAAATATGGAGAAATGGAATTTTATGGCCATGGAAACTGTGGAATCAGAGGCTGCCCTGTCAAAGGCTGTCATTGTTCCACTCCTTCCAGGCAGACCAAGACGGTGGCTGTCCAACTAAAAGCTTTAAGGTTGCGCAAGTGGATCAGACCAGTTTGAAAGGGCAGTAGCCAAAGGAAGAACCATAGTTATGATACTGGCTATGAAGGAACTGCAGCCTATTCATGAGAAGTTGATTTCGAACTGCAAACCCCTTTTCCACTCCAAACTTCGATAACCCACACATGCCTCAAAGGTGGTTCCTCTTGCCTCAGAGCCAGTGGCTTGGAGGGCTTGACATGGTCTGCCTGCTTTGGCTACGGAAGGACTCTGGGGTTAGCGGTGGCTGATCTGCCCTCTTCCTCCTCAGCAGGCTCCCCTTGCCTTCACACAAAGGCGAGTGACTCTCATCCATGCCCTGTCTTGTCTCCTGGCATCCCAGCCACAAATTCTGGCTGCCTTTTCTCCTCCAGGCCGGAAATGGTTTCCACGTGTCTTGAAGGCCATTTTGCAGGAGGAATGAGCCCAGTTCCTACAGCCCACTACCCTAATTTCTTTGTCCATAAAGTTCTGGTTGTGGGTCCAGCAAATCCAGAGATCCTGAAGAGAAGAGCAGGATACATGGCGGATGATTCAGAGAGGCAGCCTTCTTAGTCTGGGCAGCCAAAACAAAGAAGGGCAGTGCAGCTCCTTAAAAGCTAACATATGTACTAGGGATGAGCCAGAGCCCTATCTGGGCACATTTCTGCATCATGGCCCAACCTACCGTTGGCCATTGCCTGCGGCCCTCCACCCTGCCTTCCCACCACCTTCCAAATGTAGGCAGGGGATAGCTGGAGAGGGGCTTTCCAGCTGCAGGGCCTCTATCTGCAGACCACCCTCCCCTGGGAGGCTCGCCTGCACCAGTTCTGTGCAGATCTATAAAGGAGGTATCACTGGGTGCTTGTGATCCTTCCCTCATGGAAGACTGCAGGACCCTCGTCATCCTCTGGGCCTCTCCTGTGTTTTCCAGCCATCCCTGCAGCTTTTTAAAAGGGCAGAAATAATGCATTATTTTCCTGGATGCCACACTATTCACTAGAAAGGCCTTGCGCGTGCTCCCATTTCTACTCTAGTGCCTTCTCATGTACTGGAGCATGCAGAAACAGATGAAGAGGGGGAACGGCTGTACAGGAAAGGGGGTGTGATCCTCGTGCAAGGAATGGGGGAGGAGCAGTCTTGGGGGGAGGTGTTAAATGCCTCCTGTAGAGAAAGCCCTGTGGCCCCTTTGGGGGCAGTGTGTGACTGGCCACCTTAAGAGAGCGTGAGGTGCTTGCAGCTACCTAGGGGGTCACAGCAGAGGCAAGATCCCAGCCAGGGACTTCTTGATCTGCAGCTCAGCCTCTGCAGCCATTTATGCCGCACCTGCTTTTTGTTTAAATAAGGTTTGGTTTCTCTTTAGGTAGCCTTAGACTGTCCAATGGAACTCTGCCGACTTTACAGCCAGCTCCATGAGCCATACATCAAGGATCCATCAGCCTATCCCAAACTTCAGGTAAACCGAGGCACTGCACAGCAGCTTTCCACAACAGAGTGCCTTTGGGTTGTGTCAGACTGCAACTCACATCATTCTCAGTCAGCATGGTCGTTTGGAACCCCGCTCCCCAGATGGGGAAGGCTGCAGTGCCCTGTGACTTGGGCAACACTTGACAGGAAACCAGAAGAGAAGGCAGTCATTTAGTTAGTGAGTTAGTTTCTGTGCCACCCAACAGCTGAAGCTCTCTCGTGGGATCGAATTTCTTTCTGAAGTCTCGGTTTTTCCTGTTTCTGTTTCTCTCTCTAAACTTGAGACTTCAGCTTCCGTGGTCGAACCCTCTTTAGCGAGATCCTGCCTCTGTAGGGAAAGGCTGGGCTGGCTGGCTTATTTGGCATCGGCGAGCACCAAGTCGGAGGAAAATGTGCTAAGCACTGTCTAGCCTGGCTTCTCTTTCCAACACAGTTGTGTTTTTACTGTTTGTAATTTATTCCCTGCATTTGCATCAAATGATTCTCAAGGTGGCTTGCATAGTGCCAAAGCAAGCTCACAGGCCAGCGCTAGTCCTTCCCCCTCTGGATGGTCGGAGCAGAGGATGCTGCAGTCCCAAAGCCACTGGGAAGTCGGTGCATTTAATATCTTGGCAGCTTTCCAAACTTTCTGTGTTTTTATTTCATGTTATACCACCGTAACGTTTGGCTTTTATGCCAGAGCAAGTAGGACATTTCAGAATAAATGTTGGGTGCTGGGTGCTCTTTCTAGCAGGGAGAGGGGAAACTAGTAGCCGTTTCTTTCTGGCAGGAAATGGGACTCTAACTTCCTTGCAGCTCCTCTGTCACTGGCCGGTGGGCAGAACCAGGCTGGCCTCCCTTTGACCAGGACACTCTTTCTGGGAGGCGAGGAGAGGCTGGAGCCCAGCTCCCTTCAACACAGCAATTCCAGATAATGCTGGCAAGTGGGCAGGGTAGCGGTAGCCACCCCTTGATGTTTCCGGCATCTAGTACTGGAACGTGGAAGCTATTCATCACTAGGAGATTGGCCCAGTCCTATGGGGTTGTCCAAGCAATGGTGTTGACCAGACCCTTTGGTTTTGTTTTTCAAACCACCAGCTTTTATTTAGAGGTCAGTCTCTGGCTTCTCACCGGAGAAGGCAATCATGTTAGGGAAGGTCAAAGGCAGAAAGCGAAAGGGAAGTCCAAATATTCGGTGAATCAAATACATAAAGGAAGTTAAAGTCTAGAACTTGGCTGAAGCGAGCTGGGCTGGCAGGACATTTTGGAGAATTTTCTTTCATGGGGGCTCCATAAGTTGGAGACAACTTGATGGCACATAGCAACAACTATGGACTTCTGGGGCATTTATTGTGCATGGATAATTCCCTACCAACGGTTACTTACTTTTTTCTGTTAGAGTGAAAGGAACCACTCCCCCCACCCCCCCTTGTGTGATATCACGATGCTGCCTGTAGGTCATGTAGCAGAAAATCAGGAAAGGCCCTTAGCATAGCTCTTGGATCTCAATTCTGCGACAAAACCAAAGTATACACAGTGGATTAACATCCAATAAACAGCCTCACGCAGAAAGATGCAGCAGCTCTGGGATCAAATGGCATAGAAACAGAGGAAGGGCTAATGCATGAGCTAGTCTGGAAAGTACACGGATCTTTCAGCTTCTTCTCTGGTGTACAGATGCTGGTGTACATGTTCTACTCTGTGCCATACTACATAATCTCGGTCTACAGTTTGCTTGTGCCTGGATGCTCTTGGATGCCTGATCTAACCATTATTCATGCTGGCGGACTAGCCCAGGTATTCCCAAAGTTTTTCATTTGTTTACCGTTGGGGCTTGAGGGGAGGTAGGGTTAACCTATTCCCTGCACCAGTTCCACATTGTACGAGAGGAAATGGTGCCAGCATCAATGTGCAGAGCTAACCAGATGCTTCCTCTCCAGTGGCTAATTGTAGCAGCTCTGCAGTGTGTCTGTGTCAGAGAAGGAGAGGAAGGCACAGAGGGGCTAATCTGACAAAAGCCGCCTCACGGGCACAGCCAACTGGGTTCTGCTTTTTCTCAAAGTGCAGAATTTCATGGTGGCTGTGAACACTGTTGAAGCTTTCCTCTTGTCCGCCCTGCCCTTTTATGTGACAAGCTGTCCCCTGCCTCTTGTCTCTCTGCCCAACCACCTCTTCTGTCCAGTTTCCCTCCTCCTCTCCCTTGTCCCATTTGTGTCCCTCTCTGGATATGTGCACCTTTTTTTGGAAATGAGGAGAAAAGACTGCTGTGGTGGAAACTGGCAAATGCGGCTTTTTGAAAGGAAGCGTGCAAGGACTGTGCCACCAAAATAAAAAACAAGGGAAAACCAGCTGCGTTCCTACCGTGCCAGTGACTCAGGGGGTGCCAAATGGTGCCACACAGATTCTCCCTTCAGACACATTACAGCAGCCATCAGAACCCTGCCCCCACATGGCCTCAGGGTCCTGGGAACAGGGTTCACACCCATGGTTCTGCAGAAACATCAGGCAGATTCAGGAGGTGGCGGCGGCTACCCATGGCTGCCAGCCTGGCTGGCTGTGCTCTCCTTCCTTCACCAGAGGGGCATCACGTGTGCCCGAGTTACGGAGGAGCTCTGGCAGGCAGAACTCTTGCACCCATCCTGCCTGGGGGGAATCCTGCCGGTAGCAGGTATGTCATCATGTGAAAGGAGTGCTGGACTGGATGGACCCTTGGTCTGAAAATCTAACAGATTTTCCTCATTGTGTAAATGTGCTGGCAAAGGAGGCGAATTCACACCTGAAGGAACATGACGACGTGCTGAGGCAGCTTGTAGAATCACAAAAGCAGGGCAAGGCAACAGCACCTGAAGACTCGTTTTGATCAAGCCTGGGAGACAGAGGTTTGCATTAGGAAGGAAGGAAAGGCCCCAGCCACTTCTAGCAAAAAAGCAATCAGGCAAAAGACACTCAGATGTCTTTAACACAGTCAGCATCTCCTGCATGAAGCTACTTCCATGTAGGAAGTGTGTGCAGAGACTGTCACATGCAGCAAGCATCCTCACGTGCACCTATGGCAAGCGCAGGTTTCTCATTAATAGCTTGTGGCAGAATTTAACTCTCTCTTCAACTGAGTGGAAACATAAGTATATGAGAGAGGAGTTGGGAGAGTTGAAAGTTACTCTGCCTTGAGCCCTAGAAGTCCATTCAGAAGCAAAGGCTGACATCCTCACCCTTTCAGTAGCCAAAGAGTCGCAGAAGGAGGCCTAAGGCAAACCATGTTGCTCATGCATGACCAGTCCATGACTTACCGCCCACACCTTTCCTTTATAAACTGCAGAGCTTACTTTCCTCCCTCACCAAGTTCTTCATGCAAGATGTCCATACCTTCCATTTGCATCCATATCTTTTAATGCATATGAAACTCTGACCCCTCTCTTCTGAGTCCCTTAACATTCCCTGGAGAATATTTAGAGAAAGACAACTTGGATGCGGTGCCATCACACTCACAGCTTTCCCACTCACACTTCTGCTGCTTGCATGCCCGTGTGCAAGGGGAATCTGAATGCAATGGTGTCGCATCACATGTTGGCGCAAATCTGCCATCGCTACGGTCATGGAGAGAAGGGTTCCACTGCTGTTTTTGTTTCTTATTTTGGAGACATTATTTACATCCCATCTTTTAAAGATTAATTTCCCCCACAAGGTGACTTTCAAAGGGGGAGAACAACGAAGCAGTTTAACATGCATTAGCATGAAAACGTTTCTAAATGGCAGGGCACAAACCAAACCAAACACACCCTCTTTTGTGGAACAAAAAGTTCATCTAAAACTGGGAATTATGGGGGCTTCTAAACACTGCAGAAGAACTTCCACAACTGTGAAGCCATCGCCAAGAAAACTCCACCGTGGTCCCATTCAGCTAATCTTTACTAATAAGAGACCATTATGCAGGGGCCGAGATGCTAAAGCTGGGGAGGGCCCTGGGGGGCAGTGGTTCTTAAGGCCACATGTCCTTGATCACAGACACACATTTCACATGACATACGGATTGCGGGCTCTCTTTTCTAGCCATGCTGTCCTCTTCTGACCTCTCTCCATTGCTGTGCCTTCATGAACCAAAGCCAATACTGGCCACTTCCAGCTCACTGGACAAACCTATCTCTCGCTCAGTTGCGAAGGCCCTGCGAAGTCTGGTGGCACGATCCCACTCGCCTACAGACAGGCATTCAGGTCCATAACATTTGGGCACGAGACTGTTAAAAGACAAATGAACTGTCACTTGAAATAGAGGATAACAGATGGGAGACAAAACAGACATGGCACAATCCTGAGTGCTCCACTATTGCTTCTATCTTTAAATGTTTGTTTATGCTAAAAATATTCTTTGGCTCAGCAATCTCTTCTCTGTGCATAACCTTAGATGTAAATTTACTCTGCGCTCCAGAATGGTCTCAGGGGAATATGCACAAAAGCCTTCAGCCCACCTTCTCTGAAGGGGGGGGGGAACAAAACTCTGCAGCCCTGTCCTGAAGAGACAGCAAATAATCCCCTATTGTAATAATGGTAACAAAATATTTTTTATTGTCCTGTTTGAGATACAGCAGGCCAGCTCCTGGGCACTGTGGGGACAGCTTTTTCAGCATTGTGCCAAGGCTGCATGTAATAGGAAGCCTGTTTGCCCTGACAGTATGTCAGGAAGAGATTCTGAGAACACCGAACCATTTCCAGTATTCGGATTCTCCAAACAGAAGAATCCAATGTTGCAAGTATTTGCTCCGCTCAGGCGATGCTCACGGCTGCATTTAACCAAGATCACGATGACCACGCTTCTAATCCAAATCCTGCCTAGTCAGCTGAGCATATTCATATTCTGTGTTTGTGCACCGCCCTGCTTTTGCCTGCTATGCAGGTAGACAGGAAACAAAGGACCACGCTGCCTATTCGTTCCCCCATCACCCCCACACACCCCACTGGAAGTTCTCTGCCTAGCCAGCTTTCATTTCTTCAGCAACCAACTTTTCTATGCCTGTCTTCGTAGCCTTGAGGGCAGGAAACTTGTTTTTCTTTAATGGAAATTTGAAGTTCCCAGGATGCCGAGTACTTCTTCCAGAGCCAGATTCTGTGACTGGGCTGTGCAAAATAAATACACACTGCCTTGTTCTTTGGCTAATTGATTTTACTGCATCTTAGTATTTTATTATAAACATTGACTCTGCCTTGTACAAAAGATCCAGGTTTTCCAATGTGCTAATCCTGGAGCAGGGACAGGGAACCTGTGGTCCTTCAGTTGTTGCTGGACTACAGCTCCCATTGCCATGACCACAGGCCATGCTGACCGGGGCCGATGGAAGCTGGAAACGTAGCAGTATCTTGGAGGGCCACAGTTTCTCCACAAGCTGTTCTAAAGATAGGTAGAAAATGGTGTTTCAGGAAAAAGTGATTCACTATATGTAGATCTACAACCTTAGGTCAACTTTCTGACCAGTTAAAGGGTAGTGCCGATGAGTCATGCACAGCAATGTCTGATGGAAATATTTTGAGCCTTTAATTTTCCCATGGAAAACTTTCCATTTCATAGATTTAAAAAATGATGTATGCCAATTATACAGACAATATTAGGTGAGCTTGCAACTTCAACTAATCCTTTTCAGGTGATTATTTTAGCAAATATGTGAAAGAATAAGCAAATCACTAAAATGAATTGAAATACACTGCAATACCCATATAATGGAATTCATAAAGAGTTGTAGTAAAACTGGAGATGCTCCTACAACCTGAATTCTGTTGAAATAGATGAAATGTATTGAATTTATTTATATAGGTCAGAATTTCTGAAGAACCACAAGTTGCCACTCCTTTCTAGGACATCAGAATATTTTTTGGATGCAAACTGAAATTATTCATATGTAAATGAGCCTAAAATTGCATTTTTCCTATGCAAACTTTCCTGGAAAATGCACCCCACTGGTTATGCAGTCAGTTTTTTTTTTAAATGCAAATTATTTTTTAATGTAAGTACATACAACCACAACTGATGGTGGGAGCCAGCTTAAAAGGTGCATTCCCGCCAGAGAGAGAGTGTGTGTGTTTGCTTCTGTGTCTGTGTGTTAAAGGAGAGACAAGATTGATGAGTTCAGATATGTGAATTCTAAACTGTATCTTATATTTACACCTCTCCTTCTGCTGTCTAGGCCCAGTTTTCACACATCGGTGCTTCTCTTCATGCTAGAACTCCATACGTCTACCGAGTCCCTGAAGAAGGAAAGATGTGGTTCCTGATACTCAACATAACATATGGAGTCCTGCCCCAGCTTTTGGCTTATAGGTGTGTCTGCAGTCCAGAGTTTTTCCTGAAGGCAAAGCCCGAAGAGAAAGCTGAATAGGGTGATTGGAGCTACGTGCTTAAATTGGTGTAACTGGACTCGCATTGCAAACTCTGTGCAGCTCAATTGGGAAGAAGTGTCACAAGCGGGTGTTATATATCATTGCTGAAAATAAAGACTACTTCTGTCTTTCATAGCACTTATGGGAGCTTGCTTTCACAGCATTATGGGTAACTGTAAGTACACGACATGGTCCTTGATTAGGACTACAGCAAGTTAAAATCATAAGAATTTTTGATTTTCACTGCTAGTTTGGTGCAGGCTATTACAGAGCAGAATCTGATTTCGTCTGAAAGTTCACTGTCTCTGTTTGTAGTTTAATACAGCCAAGGGCTTGTGCACAACACATGGCAGTAGAACTGATCTTGCTATGAAATTGTACCAGATGCCCCCACACAATGGGCATTCTGTGGTTTAGATTAAGCTTTTTCATACTGAGGAGACAGGAGTTGAATTCAGTAAAGTTTAAATTAACCATGACTAGCTGGTCTTTGACCAAAATAAAGTCAGTCAGTCGGTCGGTTGGTCAGTCTATCCATGACTAAATTAATTAATTCACATTGATTAATAGGTCCATTTTAAAGTGTGAATAAACCTGATCTTACATGGCATTTGCAGGATTTCTGCAGTCTCACCTTGGGGCACTTAGCTCAGTTCTGGATACAGATGGTCCAGCCTCGATTTTTCTCAGGTTTCTCTAGGTAGGTTTGGAAAAACTGCAGCCTGAAATGCCTGTTATCATGCTGGCTGGCCATGATCTGTCTTGGGATCAGACAGCTTCCTGTGCTGGTTGTCCATGTCCCTTGTCCCCCTCAATCAAAGAGCAGTGCTCTCTTTCCTTCACCTTCCCTTGTACAAACACAGCATATCACCTCCAGAAGAGATCACTGTGAAACAGTTCTATTAAGTTGCTTTATTCAAAGCAGCCTCCTCCCACTGCAGCCCTCCAAATGTTCCCCAGGCTGTAGAAGACTGATTTGAAGTATTTTAAAGTGATCATTCCTGGCTGTGCACGCAAACACAGGAGAGCACAAATGAGCAGATTCAGATGCGAGACATGGCCACCACAGTAGCAAGCCGAGAGCAGACTTGAAAAGCTGCTCTGACTCCACAAGGCACTTACAGATGCAACAGAAGAATGACTGAAATGTACACCATCCACCCAACTAGCTTTGCACCACAAGGACCAGATTCTTACAGAGCGGTGCTGTGGCCTCCATGGCCACGATACCCCTTCCTTACCATGCCCAGCTGTATGAAATCTGGACGTGTCCCTCTGCTTCTTGTGCTTCTAAGTTTCTCCTTCCCACCCTTTGTTATTTACTCCTGCCACACTTGTTTGCAAGCTGATCAGGGCAGAGATCTATTTTTTACTTATGTTCCTCTATAAAGCAGCATTAATTCATGTGAATGACTAATAAGCCTGGAGAGAGTTGGCTAAGTAGTAGCAGGTGTTGTGCTGGTAAAAATGTCTCTTAATCCATTTTTTCCCACACCAGATATAATTTTGTTATGTCTATCATGTCTCCTCTTACTCACCATATTCCTAAGCTAATGAATTCCAGATGTTGTAACCTTTCCTTTTAAGTGGGTTGGTGCAGCCCCTTGACCACCTGTTGAAAAGGGAATTTCAGCAGGTTTCAGTAGTACATTTCAAAATGGAGGCACTCATCATGACATTGCCCACAGACATGTCCCAAGGACAGTCTAGAAATCGAGGCAGCTGTTTTGTTGTTTATCAACACGAAACAGCTCTAGTAGTTTCCAGATGCACCCAGAACAGGTCTTCCGTAAGCTAACATTCTTTTTTGCCCATCCAAGCCCAAACCACCCTGAAACATTTTGCATTATAACAGGAACTATATATTGTTGTCAGAAGAATTCATTTCCTTCTCCTCACTGTGAAGATTAAAAGCAAAGCTTAGATGGAATATGGCAGTACGGGGGTGATGGTGGCGACAGATGAGTACAAAAATGCAGGGATTCCACCTCCGATCCAGTTCCTTGAGCTTGTCATGTGGATGTTACACGGTTGTAGTTTGATGCTTGGGCCCTGTCTAGTCCAGACCCCATTACAAAATAGCTGCTCCCAGTTCTAGCTTCTTAATCATTTCCTTGCGAGACTCAGCTTTTCTCACCCTTCCAGTGACTCTAGTTAACATTCTGCCACTGACTTCCTGTAACCAAGGGAAGGGATTGCTGGGCTGCCTGCTTACATTAGGAGTTTGTTCGCTTTTTATTTATCAAGTTGCCAAGTAGAGCAGTTTGTTATATCTGATTCACACACAGTAACAGTGTGTGTAGTTCTTTTCACACATTTCGTGAGCATGCAGTCTCATGTCATGCCATGCACAAAACTTGAATGCAACAGTCTCTTTTTCAGACTGATCCACTGTGCATCCCCAAACATGTATTACTTACCAGCAAACATTTGAGCAATTTTATATCACAGCTTGTATATAATTAGTTATGGAATACAGTAAATATAGCTGGATACAATGCACTGAAATAAAGCTTAATAGTTGTATGGGAATTTTTAAAGTCCCACCACCCCATAAAAGAAACATTAGACAGTGCTTTTTCCCCCATGCTGGCAAGAGAAATGATCATACCTTGGTGAGAAAGTGCACTGTTAGAAGGTCCCAGTTTCAAGCTAGTTTAAAAGATCAGAACCTGCCAGAAACCTGCTACTCAATAGAGCAGATTAATACTGAGCTAAATGTACAAATGGTCCAGTCTTGTATAAGCCTTCCTAAACAGGACTTAAATTTCTGTAAGGAAATATTATGCGTTATACAAGGAAGGCTTGCTCAGTGAGTTCATGTATAGGAGGAACAGATGAGGAGAAATACATATATTTCAAGCTTCGCATTCTGCTTTTATATGGAGCTCCTAGCAACCTCTTCTCTTGACCAAAATCACATCTATTTAACTTCAAGAATACTATAGCATCAAGCATTTCCAGACCATTCAGTAAGAGCCAGATGTTCTTTCATACCAGCACTTTGCCAACTGTGTTCCATGGATCTCTGGTATTGATTTGAAACATATCAGAGAATCCTCTAGAATGCTGGTAGCAGCAGTCAATCCTTGCTCAAGACAGCTCTCCCATCACTAAACTTTCTCTGCTTCTCCTCTAAGGAGCAGCCTGTAGATGAGGAATTTGGTGTACTGTGGGGGTCTGCCTGGTTCACACGGAGTGACAGGGAAGCCCCAGACACTTGGCCAGTTCCTGGTGGGACCTGAATGCACTTCTGAATGTGATCCACATGAGTGCAATGCGTATGGTTCTGTGGCAGAGGCTTGGGGGTTCCCTGACACACAGGTCAATTCCGAAAATGCTCCTTGGAAAGGGACATGTTAGCAAATGCTTCATGCTTTCCTATTTCTTTAAAGATGTCTGCTCAAAAATGGGTGGGTGACGGCAGTGGAGTTAAACGGGAAAGGCTACAAAACCAAGAGCAACACTTGTGCAAGTTATTAGATAATCTACAGTACCTGTATGTTTTTCCCCACTGCTTTATCCTACTCAGAATGTGGGGTGGGGTGGGGGGGCACACAAAGGGTTAGGTGACAAATAAGATTTTTTATGGCCTTTGGGCCTGGTTCTTAAAATTTTGGATGTAACCGGAGTGTCAAAGGTAAGAAAAGCAATGGGACAGAAACAACAAAGCTTTCCCCTGCATTGGTGTTCTATTATAACCAACTCAGTGTTAACAGAATGCTTTGCTTTAATACTCGAGTTACATGAATACCTCACATTTACACGTATGAAGCCAAATACGACGCTAACTTAGCTGCTTACAACCTCAAACCTTACTCCCGATACACATTCCAATAAATTTATTCTGTAAAAACAATAGTTTTTTTGTTTTTTGATTTTTTTCCTGTTTTTTTGTACAGTAAACTTTTCAACTACAAACCTTGAGTACGCGAAAGATGTTCCAAGGACAAGCATAACAAGGATTGATAAAACCGGACTAAACCCATATGTTTTCACAATAAAAGCTGGCATTAAAAAATAAATAAAATTCTCTATTCTCACAATAGCAACAATAATGTACACAGAATAATGGATGTTGGAATGCTTACTTGCTAGTCTAGATCTAGTTTTGAAAATAGAAAAAAAACCCAAAAATGATGACAGGATCTTTTTTTTCCCCTTTTTCGTTTTAAGCCTTTTGGGTTTTTGTTTTTAATTGGATGTTTTGGGTTTGTTTCCCATAGGACTTTTGTATCACAATTAAGCTTAAAAATGGAAGGCTTCCAAAAAATATGTTAAGCTCAAATTTGTATTGGCATTTGAAAAAAAGCTCCTTGTATTCATCTAAAGAAACACAAAAGACTTTCACTAACTCCACATATAGGAACTAAGTCAGAGAAATTTACGTTACATCATGATTTTGAGAAGTATTAAGAGTATAGCTAGCTAGGTATTTCTAATAAGGAAAGGTATTTTCTTACAATATTGACTTTTTGAGTATGATCGTAACTCAAGTACATTTTGTCAGGTTTAAAACCAGAGATGGCCACCTTTAATATTCCAGGAGGGGAGTAATTTCATCTCATTTGTTAAGAGTATATGTACAGGAGTGGGGTGGAGTACACTGATTTCGCTTCCCCACGGTCTTGCCATCATGAACCGGCAGGCTCCATATGAATGTTGGTGCCATCTTGACTTAAGGGCTTCACAGTTATGGGGCTCAGATGCTGTGTTACATACAAATATGTACATTTACATGCTTGTATAAAATCCAGAAGGGGGGTATCTTCTATGTCTAGTAACTTGAAAATATTTTTCTTTTCCCTACAAATGAACTGGTGAGCAATTTTCCCCCATACCTTGGCTGCAATTTGAGCGGCTGGGGGCACAAGGAGCCACGTGGAATCGGTCAGGAAACCAGATCTAGCTTGCGGGCTGCCACCTGGCCATCCCTGTTTTTAAACCAAGTTTAAAAATACACAAGGAAGAATGGATAAGGAGTAATTTAAAAAGTAATGGTTTGTAAGCAGAATAGAGATTCTTGTGATTATTTATGAGGGAGCACTTGTTTCCAAGCATTTGATCTTTATTCTTCTTAAAAGAAAGGCAGCTTTCAAGAAATGATTTAAAATTTGGAGGATTTGCCCATTCTTTTTGAAAAAAAAAAGGTATCTAAAGATGGGCATGTTTAGATATTGGCAATGTTGCACATCACACATGCTGGAAAAGAGCATTGTTGTGCGATTAAATAAAAGGATGTTCAGAAAAGGGAGCCCTTGGGGGCAGGGGGTTAACAATGAAGTTGAAAGTCATTGCTGAGAACAGGATGGGTAGGAATGTGACTAAATGTGCATACAAACAGATATGCTGCTGATGAACAGATGTGCTGACTTCTATCAAATCCAAGAATATTAGACAACCAAACATGTAACCTTCTTGTGTCTTCCCTTAATATGCAGCAGTCAATATGTTGGTTAAGTCTGAGGAGAAACAGAAAGAAAATGGAAATTTAAAAAGATTCAAAGGACTCAATTAATGTTAATGTCAACATTTCTGAAGTGTGGGCATGATTCAGGCACCAACAGTACGTTGATATTCTACTGATTTCAACCAGAGATACTTAAATTTTTAAAGAAAAAAATAAAAAATAGTACAGGAACATTTTATCATTTGGGGATGACCATTCAATGGCCACCATTATGTAACAAATGCAGGCACCAAGTGCAGAGAGCTAAGGAAGCGTACTAGTTAAGAGAGTGGGACTGGGGCTCAGCCAATCTGGGTTCCAGGCCCCACTCAGCCATGGAGCCAACTGGGTGACACTGGGCCACAGACTCTCAGCCCAACCCACCTCACAGGGTTATTGTGGAGAGAAGATTGAGAGCAGGAGGAGAAGACTGACGTAAGCTGCTTTGAGTTCTTTGCAAGGAAAAAAGGTGGGATATAAATCTAATAAATAAATAAAATGAGATCTGCCTGTAGAAGCAGCAGCTTTCCATGGATCAGAACCAGCATACAGTGCAAATGAAAGAGAATGGATTGCACTTCCGTCTGCAATACCTTTCTAATTGAATTCCCTTTTTGTCCCTCAAATGCTTTGGGGGATTCTAGGATAGGAAAAATGTTTATCTGTTTGGTGTACAGAAAAATACTTTGTCTGACTTTATTTCCCATGACATCATCTTTTTTTTCCACATCGAACCATCAATTGCAGCGATGAACACACGAGGAGAGTAGTTCTGACTTAAATGTTAGCAAGTCATAGGAAGCTTTGGAGGGAAGGCCCATGTTCAGAACCGACCCTCGTTCCAAAGATATGAGATCAGTCCGAAGCACAAGGATGTCACACATGACTCCAGATGTCCTGTGCTTATGTCAACAGCTATCATTCATTAACTGTTACCTACCTGGTGCCATCACTGTTCATTTGTTCAGGGGTGGGCGACTTGTCATCACCCCCCAGTGTTGGACTACAACTCCCATCAGCCCTAGCTATCACAACCAATGGCGACAGATTATGGGAGTTTCAGTTCAACATTTTGTAGAGGGTCAGAAATTCATTCATTCACATATTTATATGTGCCTCTAACTGCCAAAGGCCTTCCTAGATGGTTTACAAGTAATAGCATGTCCAAACCTACTAAAACAACCAAGGCCTGTTCATACCATATGACATGCCTTACCCCTTCACTAGTTTTCTGCAAGTCTGAAGAGGTGTTTCTTGTGTCATTGCCTGCTTCTCCAGCATCGGAGCTGCTCTTATTTTCTTCCTCTTTGCAGTCCTTGTCATCTTCATCTCCGGGAGATTTCCGTGACTGCTTGGAAGATTTCTAAGTACATCCATCAAGGAAAAATAAAAACAAAACAGACCCCTGCTTTTAAAAGGTATGAGTTGGGTGTGAGAAAATCAGAAGTCTTGTTCGGGGAGGGGGGAATGGGCGAAGCATTAATACTCTTGATGCATTTTCCACTTATAAATGCTAAGATAATGCCACCTGAGCACAACGGTGCTTGTCAATTCCCTGTAGATGAAATATAGGCTTTCAAAAATGGGCATGCAAGGGGTCAACAGAGCTGGAAACAGCCCGTGAGAATTGTGAAGTGGCCAGGTCTGGTTTTTGCTAGAAGAAATGAGCAAATATGGTCAATGGAGGCAAAAGTACACCTTCAAAGTTGTGAGGAAGAAGAAGAGGAACGGTGAGACAACGGGCAGGAAAAAGGACAACATGAGAGGTTTGTCCAGTCCGGTTCAACCTAACCATAATTCAACCCAACCCAAGGAAGGCTCATACCTGTTCACTTTTTAAAAAGGAAAGAAGGGGCATGTGAAGTAGAAGAATGGGTAGGATAGCCAGGTCATAGCCTGGTGATTTCTGTTATACTTTTGGATCTGCAGCTGAATCGAAGACAAGCCAAAGGTTGCTTACTTATAACCAATGTTCTTCAAGGGGTCATCTCTGCACTCACACATATGGACTCTGTGCCTGCACAGGCCCTGCTGTCGGACAGATAAGAGAGAGATTCCTTAGCTAGGCATTTTTGGCAAGAGCCCCTTCCCCTTCCTCCAATGCTATATAAAGGTGGGACTCCCACCATTTTCTCCAGTTCTTGTGAGACTGTCGGCTGGCCCTCAGAACCAGAGTGTCCATGTTAAGGTAAGTGTTCTTTCTATGAGACACCGATGAGGGGCCAGTGGGAGGGTTGTGTCAATGCGCAGATGACCACTTGAAGAATGTTGGTTACAGGTAAACAATCTTATTTTCTTCTTCATGGTCTCTGTGCATCACACAGATGGGCAATTAGCTAGCTTACTATGGGAGGTGTTGTCATTGCAGAGCTGCTGACAAGATCGTCCGTCTGAAGGATCAGTCTTTTCATGCTCGAACACTGAGTCGGTAGTGCCAGATAAATGTAGATGGATCGGACCAGGTTGCTGCTTTCCATAGGTCCTCCACCAGGATGCCTGCATGTATCACTGCTGATGTTGCCATCGCTCTGGTGGAATGCACTTTTGGCTGTTGTGGAAGTTCCAGTCTGGCTAGTTGGTAGCCTGGATTGATCGTCTCCACTATCCAGTGGGCCAGTCTTTGAAGTGTTATTGGGTTTTCTTTAGAGTGTCCCACATATGAAACAATTAGTGGGAGCAGGAGTATGGAGTGACAGTTGGAAGGGTAACAACAGGAGAGTTCTGAAGTAAAGTTTGACAGACTTTTAAATATATATATATATATATATATATATATATATATATATATATATATATATATATAAATATAAAAAAGATAAGATTTGGAATAGGAATAGAAATATTTCTGAAATGAGAAGATAAAGATATTGAAGTAGAGATGAAGGGAAAAGTTCTAATTCATGAGGGGAGCTAGGGAGTGAACGGATCCAAGGCATCCGAGGCAGTGGTCAAAAATAAATGGAAGAAAATGGCGGGAGCCCTGCCTTTCTCCACTGGGGGAAAGGGGTGGAGCTCCCACCAAAAACGCCCAGCTAGGGAATCTCCCTCTATCTATCTGACAACAGGTCCCACGCAGGCACCACATGTAGCCCCGTATGTGTGATGGACAGAGACCACAAAGAAGAACTTCCCTTGTAATCACAGCAGCGAGGACTGCATTTGCACAGCCCTGGAGGAATGAGGAAATACCAATGGAAGAATCGATATTAAAGAAGATATTGGACTGTGCAGAAATGGATAGATTGACTTTGTCTCTCAAGGAGAAAGAAGAAACATATTATTACCAAACTTGGGACTTCTTTTATCAATGGCTAGAGATGCGCGATTACACTTAGGGCTGAAATATACAGTAATTGTAGAGAGAGTAAGATAATAACCCAGTAGGTCTGATGTCTTTTGAATGATTATTTGTTTTATTTGTAGCAAAAATAATAAAAAAATTAAAATGAGAAGAACTTCCTTTGTTTCCCCCCTGCCCTTGCCTTTTGCACTCCTTCCTCCCACTCTGTTGTAATGAGCAAAGATACTGCACACCATATGGAGCAGGGAATCATAAAAGGACTGGGATTGTAGTGTAGGGAGAGAGGGGAAATTAGTGGATTTAAAGGTGTGGGTGCAACTTCCAGGGTGCTCCCAGGCATCCCTGTTACTTTTGGTTTGACCAGTTGATTTTTAGACCAACACCCTGCCTTCCCATTGCCATGTTCCAAGCGACTAACCAAATTAGTATTGCACAAAAAGCTTACACAAATTCAGTATTATCAAATTTGTTCAAAGAAGCAACCAAGGAGTAAAGCTAAAGCTTCTATGTGTGAAAAGAGCACTGCATGGACAGTGGAATTAGGTGTGGAAGAACAAAGTCATACAAATGCATGTGTAAACCAATCCTCCTTGCAAAAATGCATTGTGTTAGGTGGTCTTTACTTCTTTGTGGCTGGCATAACGGCTGGAGATTGTCATCCTAAGTTTAAACTCCTGCATGGATTTCCCAGCAGTGCACAGTCTGGGATGCAGCCGTGGTGAAACCTCATGACTCTTCTGGGTGTGTAAATTCAGGCAGTGCTGGTATTAGGATGTAATTGTTTATATGCATGAAGTGTTTCGTAACCCTCCGTAACTTAATGCAAGAGGTTATAGGACATACTTTGTAGATTGTGATAATTATAGATAAATGAGGATGCTAATAAATTACCTTTGAAGTGTAGGATTTTTTCCGTTTTGAGCCTGCTTTTTCATTCTTTCTTTTGCCTTTTCCATCCTCTTCTACCCTATCGCCTTCCTCCTCACTGCTGGCGTCTGCTGTATTCCCTCCTTCTCCCTCAGTTTCTGATGAGCTCTGTTGCTGAATTGCCTTTAGAATAAAACAGACAATTAAAACTCACCTAGATTTTGTAATTTTTCAGAGTGAGAAATTTATCAGAGGCTATCCAAACATGTACCAGTCATTTTGCAGGGTTTCTGAGTAGAACTGTATGTACTCTAGTACATAATGTTAACATGTGTTTATAAAAATCTGCAGACATAATCTAAATTTTGGAATATGAAAAGCTGAATACTTCATCCTGTATAAATTTTACAAATTGATCTTAGCATCTGTTATAGGTACATAATGCAGTTTGTGATGCTTATATAATTTAATCTCATTTTTCTAGACAACAGCAAGGATGTTGAACTCCTGCCCCATTTAACATCTATTTACCCATTTCTTTGAGATTTCAGCATTGGTTGCCACAAACTTTCAGATATAGCTTTACAGCCAAATGGACTAGAAACTTGCCATCTTTTTTTTTTTTTATAACAATGAATGCTCCAATTGTCAAGAATTGGCATTTTGTCCCCACTACCACATTCAGTTTTTCCTGCTCTCCCAGGCATTTATGCCATTCTCTCAACCCTGCTTTTAAACCATCTGCAGTAATGTCCTAGATTTCAAGGTATGTTCTTAGCCCCAACACTAAAAGGGCCAGTTATGGAAATTGGGCCAGCACCAAATCATGAACAGAGAACATGGACAACCTCTTAGGACCCAGTTTTACCATCATGGATCTGGCACACACTAATGGACAACCAGTGGCATTGTTCGCATATGATGTTTACTGCTAACATCTGGATCCTAGTACATTAATCCTTAAGGTAAGTTAATCCTGGCAGAGATCCTAGTACATTAATCCTTAAGGTAAGTTAATCCTGGCAGAGATCCTAGTACATTAATCCTTAAGGTAAGTTAATCCTGGCATGTGGAGAAATGGAGGGGAAGCCACACTTACCTGGTATCCTGTAAACTTGACACCAGGATTGTTTTCTATTTCCCACAGCCCTTCATTAAATCCTTTTCGTTTGTTTGATTTTCCAAACTTGTCTTTATATTCTTTGTATGGAAAGAGGTCTTTAGGCCCCAAAAATGCACTGTGTTTTAACAAAGGCAACAGTCAGACAGACATTCCATTTACGTTCCATCTAAAGCAGCCAAAATATCATGTTCCTTGAAATGGTAGTTGCAACCCATGGAAACTAGCTGTGGTTCATTTTAGACATTGCATGCGATTTGTGGTAACCTGATTTCAGAACCTAACCATGGTTTGAATTTGCAAACATTCTGATCAATAGTGGCTTAGAACTGTTTGCCAACATTCATTTTCTGTCTGCTTAGCATTTCAGTCCAGAGTTGGAGCAGCACCTGTGACTGGTTTATCGATCTAAACATCTCAGTAAAGCAATCCAAACTGGAATGCTAGTGAGTTGGGTGCAGAGGGTTTTAAGACTTTGCTGCCCATTATAATTCCTGTCTACATTGCCTGGCTTTCCCGCACCCTGCCTGTTGGGTAAATTTAAAGAAAACTCCCATTCATTTTTTTTTCTTTCCAATGCAAATAGCAGGTGTGGCTTTTGAATCCCTGTTTATAACCACTTTGGGGAGCAAACCATTGAGGCTTCCCCAAATCGGGATCTGGGCCCCACCTGCAAGTCATTCACACAATTACTAATTGTGCAAATGGTGTCCTTCTGGTTGGACCCTGAGGCTAAGAGAGCTGCTGAAGTCAACCCACTGAAGTGGCCCATGGCTGTACTGGGATGGTATGCGATGGAATGTCTAGGGGTGAGTGCTTGGGGCGCTCCTCTCACAAGCAGTTCCTGTTCCAAGAGATGAGTTCCCAAATAATTTCCACATAGCTCAGACATAATTTCAGCTCAGGGGTTCACAAACCACGGCGTTAACGTGAGGTTCTGAGTATTTACCTATGTCTGTACATTAACTCCTGTTTTGTCAATAGACTATTGTATTCTTTCCTCTCTGGTGCCTGCCAGATTACAGTTGCTAGCATTTTGACCTTTGGACATGCTGGCTGGGGCTGCTGGTACTTGAAGTCTAAAACATCTGGAAAGCATCAGGTTGGAAAATTCTGCTGTATTGTGACAATGTTATCTATCATGCCTTCTATACAGATGCCTTTAAAGATGATTTGATGATTCTTATTTTGATGGTCCTTCTTCTTGCTGGGTCTTTTAATGGTATTTTAAGCTATTTTAAATTAATTTTAAATCCTTTTGACATTGCTTTATGTTATTGTATAGTTTTGTGTCATGCATTGTTGTAAACTGCCCAGAGAGCTTCAGCTATGGGACAGTATAGAAATGAAGCTGCTGCTGCTGCTATTTTCCTGTGTTATTAGCAGTGTTGATGCCAATCAACACTAATCCGGCCACTTGGCATGCAGACATGCATTCTTATCACCCTAACAGAGACAGTAAGTGTATGTGTGTTACTCTTTTCTGTTTCTATCTCTATGGTAAAGACAATCTGCAATATTGCTGTGGTTTCACATTTAGGCAAATCTGCCCTCCTGTGGTCAAACCACAGATTGCAGCTGCCTGCACTATGAGGGCTCACCACGTACGTTTGCACTGGTGATGTTTTTTAGCTACTGAATTGTTACAGGTTTGCCTGATATTCTAAACCCCCTTTGCCCTTTTCCTGTGCTTACTTAATGATGAGTGAAATACCATCCGCACATATTCACAGGTATTCCTGCCTTCATAACGGTTATGTGACAGAGGGAAATGATCTCCCACTTTCTCTCTAAAATGGTACAGCCCAAGGAGGACAGGCCGTTTTGCAGGATATGTCTGTCAGCTATAACACTCTTTAACTCCATCCTTGCACATGGATTCCCAGCTACTTTTTAGCTGGTACAGCCACATGTGCACAGTTTTTCTGGTGAATACTGGAGTGCTGTGAATGAGCTGTGTGCTTTAGCATGCAGCCTATTTGTTGCCTATTGGCTCTTCCTGCTAGGGAGCGAGGCAGTTTAGTCTCTCAACAAACCAAAGAGATTGCTTCATGTATTGCTTGGGCAGTCCATCTTGGCTTGATGCTCCCTTGAAGAACCATGATTGTAAACCATGTTTGTTCCTAGCTTAGAAATTGTGGCTTGTTCAGAAGCATTAAGCCAGGATCCTGGATGAAGGCTGAGGTAACAAATATCTGGTTTGCTTGTGCTAGTTGGTAGAACCAAGCGGGGACAAGCGAGCTGTGTGAATGAGAGCAAAGCTTGTTCATGGTAAGTTAGCATTCCCTAGAATCCTGGCCTACCATTCTATGCAACACGGCCTATGAGAATTTCTACCTATTCTGGTTAAATGAGGTATTAGGATGGTACTTTATCTTTTTAGGAGGGACAGTTGAGAAATGTAAACAGAAACAGTCCAGCTTCTGATATGGCAGTTAATCAGAATGATGTTAATTAGTCCATGCTGCAACACATATCTGGTGAATGATACTTGTTCTCTTGGTGGATTAGAAGCTGTCCAGGCCAATGAATCTGCAAGCACAGGACTCTCTGCAGAGGTTTCTCCAGGGAAATGGTGGCTGTTTCAGGAGTAATTGAGCAACAGGGAGAATTCTGAGTATAATCAATGTCCTAGGAGGTTGATGGAGTCCTGAAGATCCTATCCCCCAACCACTTGTTCTGTTTCTGGCAGGTCATTCTTATACTAGACTAACTATTGGTCACACCAGAATGTATTTATTTGGTTTCTTCCATTACTTTTGCTTTTATTTTACACTAGCCAATGCACCTGGCTTCACATGGACTGGAATAACCCTTAATCTGAAGCAGCAATGCCTTCAAGTAAACTTAAGCAGCTGTCAAGAGTTGGCCACATTGTGTCCACCCTATCTCAATGAAAGCATTGGATGCCCAATGGCAACCATCTCTAGTCATGCCCCCTGCTGTGATTTACCCCTATAGTTCTCTGAGGTGACTGGCTACTCCATTACCCCAAGGGAGGGTGACCCACTGCAGAGAGGAAGGTCTCACTAGGCCTCTGGAGTTTCCCTCTTGGCCTTTGGATTCCCCTCTCCTCAGACTCTATGGGTGATATGCTGGTTACAGAGGTCTGCCCAGTGACTGAAGATGTTAAAATGGATGCATTTTAAAAAGCAAAGTGAACCCAAGGTGCACATACTCTTAGTATACATGCTAAGTAACAGCTGTCCATTTTTCACACCTGTGGCACTGACAGATGACTGGAGAGACTAACACATGGCTCCTTTTATTGTTTATACAGATAGCAAAATAGTGCTAGGTTACTATAGAAATGACAAGAGGAAAAATAAGGGAGCAGTAATTACAGCCTCCCCTGCTATTGGGAGAGAATCCACATTATATTGATTAAGAAAGGCTCTTAAGAGGTCAGTTAAGAGATCGCTCATCACTAACTCCACCCTCCCACCTACACACTCAGCAGCAAGCAAGCAAGCTAACAGACTATCGCTGCAAGTGCATTTTCTTACAGAATGGAATGGAAGAACTGCAAATCAGCTCTGATTGAACATGGGAAGACAACACAGAAGAAACCAAACTCAAAGGACGTGGCAGCAACAAACTGGGATTCTCCATCAATAGTGACAGAGCAATAGATGATTCCAGAGAAAGGAACTAGGGAAGAAGTAAATGAGGAAAGGGTTAATTTTAATGTTTGGTATGGGAACTATGGTGGAGTGGTGGACTGGAAGAGACTGGGATTCAAATCTCCACTCAAGTATAAAAAGTCACTCGGTGACTTTGGGTGAGACAGAATCACAACAAGTTGCGAAGGTTAAAGGGGGAGGTGGAACCATGGATGCCTCCTTGAGTTTCTCGGAGGATGAGTGGGATTATAAAATATTAAATCAATATTCCAGCAGAGGATGGAGTGGAGTGTTTTCGGATCCATATCCTCTTCACAAGCAGCACTTCTCGTGAAGAAGCCCATGCCAGGACATACGAAAGGAAAGAGTTTCATGGACATAAGAACCACGTGCATAACATTCAGCTTCACACACAGTTCAAGGCTGTTCGTTCACTTACGTTTCATGAGTCCCAAAAAAGAAGATGGGGAACTTATTTGCTGGAGGCTTCACAGCTCCCTCAGGGAGTTCATCGATCTGTTGGACAGAAACAGATGTTGGCCATCACAATTGCCCAATGGGTTTGATGGTGAAAAGGAAGAGCCAGAATGTTCGAAATTTGCGGCACAATGGGCAATGCGGTCAGACACATTAACGCTCTCTACATGACGATGCGCAAAAGGAAATCCACACAACCAACATGTGATAGAATTTTTCTGTAGTCTGCCTCCTAGTGCACACACTAATTGCCTTCAGGAGGAAAAGGCCAAGTCTCTTGAAAATTTAAAAGAAGCCCCTCCCTGTCTGGTTACCTAAAGGAAATTAGGGTTGCTGCTATTCACAGAATAGCTATTCTTTTAAATATTTGTCACATTTCATCTGTCCCTTTGCCCAGGGAACTCAAGGCAGCGTACATTGCCACCCCACCCCACCACACACATTGTATTCCCACAACAATCCTGTGAATTAGGGCCGAGGAAGAGTGACTATACTAAGACCACTCTTTGATTTTCATGGGTGGGTAGAAATTGGAAACAAAATCCTCCACAATATTTCCCTCGACAAAAATAAAGAAACGGGTCTCCACATCAAAAGAAGCCAGTGTGACATAGAGGTCAGAGTGAAGGAGAACTGGCTGAATGCCCCACTCAGTCTCAAAGTTCACTGGGTGAGCCTATGCCAGTTGGTCCTCCAGGTGAATGCACAGCAGTGTCCTTGCAAGAATAAAGGCGAGGCATGTATATTTCAGATAACAATAGAGCAGATAAAAATCAAATAAATAGGGAAAGATAGGAAAAGACTAGGAACTGGCAAACTAATTGTATCTATTTATTTGCACAGTTGATTGAATTGGTTACAAATCATTCAGTTAAGAGGGGAAAGGGAAATTACCAAGATCAGGTGTTCTTAGGAGCATTTTGTAACTAAAGCAAGCAGTAATTTGTAGTACCTTTCCTGCTTCCGCTGACCAGCATGGCAGGGGAAGGGTGATAAGAAGTAAAACTTCACAACATGACCATAGTGGATATCACAGAACCATACTTTCTGAACTATTGCTGAGAGAAACACCACAGCAACGTATTGAACAATCCTACATCCCAAGAAGATCACTGGGCAACTGAAACACATTTTGCAAAATTAATTCAATTGATACAATTATCAGAGCTGTAAGCTTTTCATCAGCAGAGTAATCAATAAACAGGACAGTCCTAAATATCTGTTTTTGTAAGTCCTACTGAGGTTAATGGACTTGACTCCCTGTGCATTTTACCTAGTATCAATGTGCATTTACTTGTAATTTTCCTTCTAGCCTAGCATCACATTGCTCACCTGTATCTGATTAACTGGTAGGGACCAATTTTATTAAACAAGAGCAAAAGTGTACTAGTTTGTTTCTAGTATACTGCTGTAATAAGGCATTTTAAAGAATATATTATTAAAGATCATTCCATGAGTGGTAACTTTCATTATGACATTGTAAATTATCCTGGTCTTCCTCCAACAACTCAAAATGTATCTATATTAAGTTTTTTGTAATATGCAAATCCACTTAAATTCAATGGATTACATAATCAGTTAATCAGGTAAAAGGCTGATTAATCAAGCAGAAATACTTAAGTCCTAAGCTCCAAAATATCATAATCTCCATATTTTAATTTGGTTGTAATTGGTTTGAGATTTAAGAGAAAGGGAGAGGTTTGTCCCAAATTTGATATCATTATGGCCTGGAGAAAGGAGTTTTGGTCTCAGAACGCCTTCAAGCGGGCCTGTTGTTTCCCATTCAGGAGGATCACGGCTGCCCGTCATTTCTTCTAATCATGTCATCCAAGCAGTCCCCAGTCTCATTTCTGTTTTCCTTTTTCCAAATGATATTCAGCATTCAGTGGTGATTAAGCATGGGAAAGTGGGGAGAAGTTAAAAAGACATTTGGTGCTCCTGGGTTCCCTCCCTCTTGTTTCTCAGTGGCCCGGCACTGCCACCGCTTCCACTGGCATTCGGCACTTGGGTCTGCTGCCAGAGGGGGTGATGTGGGATACCTGCCAAGAGCAGTCAGGCACAGGTGGGTGCAGGCACGGGGTGAGGCAACTGGGACCTGGGAAGGCTGCTGCAGCGACACCAAGCCCATTCCAGCCTCTGAAGCAGGAATGGGCAGCTTCTGGAGTTGCAAGGGCCATTTTCACTCTGGGGCTTCTCTGGGTCATTTTCATTCCTGTGCGGGCCTCTTGCTACAGGAGGCCCCCATGAAGTCTGTGGGTATCGCCTCCAAAAAGGAAAGGCAAAACAAATAAAATCTGGCAGCAAGCAACTCCGTAGTACTAGAGGGGCCTATATTTTAAAAAATGGGGTGGGGAACGGAGTTGCCAGAGATCGCGCTGGCCCAAGAACCATGCAGGGCTCGATTGCTCTCTGGGACTCACCCTCTTGGGATACCCAATAGTGTCACACCAGCCAAGAGCTGAATTGTACCTCATACACAGGCCCATCTCATGGCAAGAGCTGCTCACTGCAATTTAATCCTGACTATATATACTCATTAGCAGGCTCCAAACCTTGCTGAGAATTCTCCCTCTCTTGGAGCACGTGTGCTCTGTGAATGAATTAAGGCAGGGATATCTGCCTGGTTCACCACTGGAAATTTGTCCATGCAGAAAGAAGCAACCACATAATTCTAGGGCATGAGGTCCATCCACATTCCCCATGGCGACCCTGGGAAGCCTCTGCCCATGCCCAGAAAGCTAATACCCCTTACAGTGACACAGACATTTAAACTGCTCTCATTTTACCCTCTGCTTTTAAACACTGAACTGCTTCTAAATATTATGCTTCCTCTTTTCTTACAGTATTTTATTTTATATGATGATATACATTTTGACTGTAAACCCCTATGAAATCAGAACAGGAGGAAGGCAGATCTTTCAATGTTTTAAATAAACAACAAATAAAAGGTCCTTTTACAGCTTTAGGGATTTAGGGACAGTCTTCTCTTCAACTGTGTCTTGTTTACCCTGGGAACCAGTACTGAGGCGCTGCTACTATGTATAAGTTTGAGGAAAATAACACTCTTGCAACCACCTGCAAGACATGCTGTCTCACATTTAAGCTATTGTTTTAAAAAGCATATAATTGTTTTAAATACCTGCCATGTGGCTATACTGCCATAAAGTACTATAAAATTGATATATACATGGGTGTGTGTGTGTGTGGGGGGGTGTTTGTGCGCAGACGCGCTCACTAACACACATCAGTACACTGATTCCATCTGTATCTGTCCAGTGTATCTCTCTATTGTAGCTGACTTCATGTCAGTTGATACACATGCTGCCTCTCAGCTTCTGAGAGGAAGCGCTGGATTAAAATGTATTATCTATCAATCAATGGTATCATGTAATGGGACCTCCACGTCTATTAATTCACCCTAACACTTGCTTGGACAATGTGCCTGTTTCCAAGACTTAAATTGGGATTCTGAACAATCCTATGGTCCCCCTGAAAACATGGTGGTGCTGTGTCTGCGAGGTGTGTGGTGGGGGGAGGACTGCACCTTACAGGATTAATTGGGGAAACCACAATGCTCTAAAAATGGCTCTACTCAGCCATTCTCCTTCATGCAGCAGAGGCGCTGGCAGGTACGGCCATGCTCTCGTCCTCATGCGAATGCTCAATGTGCAAGGGGGACTGGCGGAGTACAGCGAAGTCCCTTTTGTATGCGTGTGGTCTGCGCTTCACCAAGCGAGCGAGTGACATGACTGAGGGGGTGTCGGTGCTGGAGCCCTCACAGCAAATCTACCTGCTTTGAATAAAAACCCCACGGCCCCATCTTATCTGAGAGCTGACACCACTAACTACCTGTTATTTCGCTAGCTGAATTACTTCAGCGTTGGCAGAAACCTGCTGTTATTTTCCACTCAGAAACAGCGAGAAGAGCAGCCATTATGGCAGACTGCCCCCCCCACCTCAGCTGCTAAAATCAGTGGCGAACCAGCCCCCCCACATCACTTTTGTTACAGCTCTGGTCTCCTGAGCTGGGTTGGCTATTTCTCTCAGTGTCAGAAAGACCCTAAGGGGAATAAAAAAAGAAACCAGGAACAAAAGGGATGAAAGCAGCAGCGCCTGCTTGTCGCCCTCTCAGCTAATGACAGAAGCGCCCCCCCCCCCCGCACCACCGCCGCCTTCTCTCAAGACAGCCCGCATGGCTCGTTCAGATCGCTTCTGGAGAGAAACAGCTTCTGAGGCGCTGGCTGTAAGAATAACCCACAGACAGGAGATTTTGTATTAAGCAGCAAAATTGACTTTGTCCGCCCTCCTCACGGCACAGCAACCTGCTGTGTACAGATATAATATTCATGCTGACAACACAGCGCACAGCCATTTCCATGATGTCTCTCCAAGCAGATGCAGAGAACTGTGAAGAAACCAGAACACGCACAACCGTTCTGCAGCCCCTCTCAGGAGAGGAGGAGAGCCATTACGCCTTCAGCAGGGTCAAATTCTCCCTCCCCTCTGCTGCTTTAGCCCACGACTATTTGATGCCCGAGGTGCAAACTACAAGCAATGCCCACCCCATGACAAAAATATAAAATGTAATTAAAATGTGTTGGTCTTTAACAATGTCCCCCTGTTTTTGTCTGAAGCTGAGCCCAGATTGTATTTATTTTCTGTCATAAGTAGTCTATCCCACATTGCCTAATGACAGGCCATGTTCCCCTGGCTGCTGCCGCTTCCTCTCCTACAGGGTATAATCCATCCAGATGAGAGACTGGATTCCCCTCACCATCTATTTTGTCTCCCCTCATCACCACAGGAGGTGTTAGACTAGCAATGGAAAACTGGTATAATGGGAAGGGCCACAGCTGTGTGGCAGATCACATATTTTGCATGCAACATGCCCCAGCATGAATCTCTGGGGTCTACAGGTCAGGCTGGGAAAGACCCTAAGCAGTCAGCCTCTGCCACCCAGTGTAGGCAGTATTATTATTATTATTATTATTATTATTATTATTAGAACATTTCTATGCCGCCCCTTGCCGAAGACTCGG